ATACTCGAGATTGGTTGATGCCAATGCAGGAGATCCTTCTAATGGTCCAATCAATTCCATTCAGTTCCATAGAAATGCACAGTTGGTCCTTGCTGGTGGATTAGATAAAAGGCTGAGATTTTTTCAGATAGACGGCAAAAGGAACACCAAAACACAAAGCATCTTCCTCGACGATTGTCCTATTCGGAAGGCTTCTTTCTTACCTGATGGATCTCGGGTTATAATAGCAGGAAGAAGGAAGTTCTTTTATAGCTGTGATCTAGTGAAAGCGGAGGTTGATAAGATAGGTCCCTTAACTGGTAGGGACGAAAAGAGCTTGGAAAATTTCGAGGTTTCCCCTGATTCTAATACAATTGCTTTTGCGGGCAATGATGGGTATATCTTGCTGGTTTCATCAAAAACGACGGAACTGATTGGATCACTCAAGCCTTTTCTAATGATGGACAACAATTGCTGAGCTCTGGGGGTGATGGGCACATTTACCACTGGGATTTGAGAACAAGGGCTTGCTTCCACAAGGCTGTTGGTGAAGGTTGCATAAATGGTACTGCTCTTTGTACTTCACCAACGGGAAGTTTATTTGCAGCTGGTTCAGACAGTGGGATTGTGAATCTTTACAATAGAGAGGAGTTTCTAGGGGGCAAGAGAAAACCGATGAAAACCATTGAGAATCTAACAACGAAAGTGCATTTTATGAAATTCAATAATGATGCTCAGATGTTGGCTATCAGTTCAAGCATGAAGAAAAACAGCCTAAAGCTTATTCATGTTCCGTCATTCACTGTTTTCTCTAACTGGCCTCCGCAAAATCGGACCTTAGATTATCCCCGTTGTTTGCATTTTAGTCCCGGTGGAGGTTTCATGGCTATGGGGAATTCAGCTGGAAAAGTTTTGCTATACAAGCTGCATCATTACTATCATGCATAGGGAATTTGACACACTGAAGACCTGTGACAATTTTCCTTTGCTTTAGCTGTGCAATCAACATTGTCAAAAAGAGATCTCCTCTCCCTCACCAAGAAAGCTCGATATGTTATGTATTATGAGGAAGGAGTCAAAGAACTTGTAGGCAATTGCGTACTATTAAACAAAAAATATGATTTCATTTTTAGTGATATGAAATGTTTCCTTGTGTTTATGAGTATTGATGTGATCTAAAATAGAAGAATCCTTCGAAAATCGAGTCCTTAGTTGTTCTAACAGTTTACCTGCCTGCACACTCTGCGATTGGGCCACCTTCTCTATTTGGCCAGTCTTCACACTTTGGATCTAGACACTTGGCTTGGCATTGGATCAACAACCCATTGTTATTTTGATACCAATTATAAAAGGTTGAGCATTTGTCTGCTCGTCCAAAACTTAAGCTATTAAATAGATTGAATAATGATTTATACATACCCACTACTAAATAGATTGAATAATGATGCCTGCATACCCACTCACTCATTTGGATAGTGGGACAAGAATAAGAAAAAAGGATCAAGTGCAAAAAATTCTCTAAGCTATGTTCAAATTTGTAAATAACTCCTTAAAGTAAATTTTGTGCATAATACCCTATGAACTATCACATTTTGTTGCAAAATATCCCAATGTCTAGATTATTATTTATTAAATGATTATAATGCCCTTTGTTATTGAATTACACTTAATCTATTTTTTTATTGAAGTAAATTATGAAAACAATTCATACTAATTTGATGATATATTCTCCATTAAATTTGCATGAATTTAACTTTAAAATTTTAAATTAATTGTTTAAATAAAAATATTAAGTAGAAAATTTAAAAACAATTTGAATAAGTTCTTACTTTTTCATGAATTTATAGTATGAAAAGGAATATATTTTTTATTTAAGTAATTAATTAATTTTTCATGAATATATTGTATGAAAGAGAATGTATATATATATATTTTTTTACAGTAAAAAAATTAAGTTTAGTATTATAAATAGTAAATTTTTAATAATAAGTTAATCATTTCAGAAAATGGTAGTTACAACTTTATTTATTTTTTTCTATTTTTATGATAAATTGATACTAACAATAAAATGAAGGTAAATGGTATAATTAATATTTAGATAACAAAAAGATAATAAAAGTAATTTAATAGGAAATGACAAATGTAATGAGAAGGGGTAAAATAGTACTATTTTGTAATGAATTTGTCCTTAATTGTAACAAATCAATAGTTTAGGGGGGTAATTTGTAGTTTAGAGGGGTTATTTGCAAAAAGGGTAATACTTAAGGGTTTTTTTTTTTGCACTTTACTCTAAGAAAAACTAAATATTCTGGTTGTAATATTGATCATGGTTCGACGTATTGGTTAATACGCGCCCCTTTTTCAAGTCCAATACGCGATTCGTATCGGCCAATTTACATTGATTTTGTACAAATTTGTATCGGTCAATTTACAATGATTTTGTACGAATCCGTAATACTGCGACTGATACCGCAACGGCAAATCATGATATTGACATGATATCAACCATTAAGACTAACAATATTTATTTTATTGGGTGTAGCATTTAAGTGTATTTTAATTTTAGGTAAATTACACTCACCTCCCTTGAGGTTTGGGCAAATTACAGACTAGGGGGTGGTTGCCGTTTATTACTCTCACACCCCCTAAGTCTGTTAATGAACTGATTACCGTTAAGTTTATATAGTGTCTTTTATACCCTTGCCTGATTTAATTAAAATTTAATCGAATAAAAAATCATGTCAAAACAAAATGCAAGATTGCCCCCTTTTTTAAAAAAAAATATAACATTACCCTCTTAACGAATCAAACGAACCTTTTTTCTTCTCTCTTTACTCTGTTTCTTATCCACCTCCTCCCACAGCCGTCGCCAGTCACAACCTCCTCCCACCGTCGCTGCCAGTCACAACTGTCACCACCACGGTAACCCTTCCTCTTTCTTCTATCATCTCTGTTTCTCTCCATTCTTTTCAATGGCGTATTTAAACTATAATGACCTTGTGGGCGGGTGTGTCGTGGGCGGATGCGAGAGACACTGACAGGCTACTACATTGGCGAGTTACGGGTGCACAGTCCCACATTGCCTGGGTAGAGGAAAGGTGAATTGCTTATATGTAAGTGTGTCATCTCCAATTGGTATGAAGCCTTTTAGGGTAAAGCCCAAGAGCAAAACCGTGCGAGCTCATGCCCAAAGCGGACAATATCATACCATGTGGTAGAGCGGGTCGTTACAAATGGTATCAGAGCCTGACCCACTGGGAAGTGTGCCGACGGGGACGTCGGGCCTCCAAGGGGGGGTGGATTGTGATGACCTTGTGGGCGGGTGTGCTGTGGGCGGGTGCGAAAGACACTGTCAGGCTACCACACTGGCGAGCTACGGGTGCACAGTCCCATATCGCTTGGGTAGAGGAAAGGTGAAGTGCTTATATGTAAGTGTGTCATCTCTAATTGGTATGAGGCCTTTTGGGGTAAAGCCCAAGAGCAAAACTGTGTAGGCTCAGGCCCAAAGCGGACAATATCATACCATGTGGTGGAATGGGTCGTTACAAATGATATCAGAGCTTGACCCAGCCGGAAGTGTGCCGACGGGGACGTCGGGCCTCCAAGGGGGGTGGATTGTGATGACCTTGTGGGCGGGTGTGCCGTGGGCAGGTGCGAGAGACATTGACAGGCTACCACACTGGCGAGTTACGGGTGCACAGTCCCACATCGCCTGGGTAGAGGAAAGGTGAAATGCTTATATGTAAATGTATCATCTCCAATTGTTATGAGGCCTTTTGGGGTAAAGCCCAAGAGCAAAACCGTGCGGGCTCAGGCCTAAAGTGGATAATATCATACCATGTGGTGGAGTGGGTCGTTACAAATGGTATCAGAGCCTGACCCAGCCGGAAGTGTGCCGACGGGGACGTCGGGCCTCCAAGGGGGGTGGATTGTGATGACCTTGTGGGCGGGGTGTGTCGTGGGCGGGTGCGAGAGACACTGACAGGCTACCACATTGGCGAGCTACGAATGCACAGTCCCACATTGCCTGGGTAGAGGAAAGGTGAATTACTTATATGTAAGTGTGTCATCTCCAATTGGTATGGGGCCTTTTGGGGTAAAGCCCAAGAGCAAAACCATGCGGGCTCAGGCCCAAAGCGGACAATATCATACCATGTGGTAGAGCGGGTCGTTACAAATGGTATTAGAGCCTGACCCAGCTGGAAGTGTGCCGACGGGGACGTCAGGCCTCCAAGGGGTGGTGGATTGTGATGAACTTGTGGGCGGGTGCGAAAGACACTGTCAGGCTACCACACTGGCGAGCTACGGGTGCACAGTCCTACATCGCCTGGGTAAAAGAAATGTGAAGTGCTTATATGTAAGTGTGTCATCTCCAATTGGTATGAGGCCTTTTGGGGTAAAGGCCAAGAGCAAAACCGTGCGGGCTCAAGCCTAAAGCGGACAATATCATACCATCTGGTGGAGTGGGTCCTTACATAAACACTACGCTCCTTACCCCTGACCTATGACATTTGAATTCTTGTTTCTTCTTTATACATATTTGAATACAACAGGGCATAACCAGACGCACAATACGAATATATTCGACATGTATTTTAGGAGAAAAGATTTGGATCGGGATAGTCGGATCAGTGGAGGAGTTGAGGTTGTCGCTTTCTTTCATCTCATCTTCTTGTTTGGTGATGGGAGGGTGGAGTTTGGAACTGGTGAGGATTTGAGAGAGAGAAAGAAATGGAAGATGGGGATTTTAGATAAAATACAAATTACCCCTAGCGTATGTGAGTTGGTATATAAATGAAATGGTATATGACTATATATAAGGGCAATTCAGGCATTATGTCAATATTTTTTTTTTTAACTGTTTTAACGGTCAATTGACAAGAAGGGAGTTACTGAACACACAACACAAACTTTATGGGGTACAAAGTAATACAATCAGAGTGTAATTTGCTTAAACTTCAGGGGAGGTCAGTGTAATATACCTTTTAATTTTTAACTAAATATCTGAGTTCAGTTGACCTGGTTCAAAATTGCCGCTGAAGCGTACATATACCCATCAAATACTACCGTTGCAATCTATCTCTGAATTCTAGGGTTTAGCTTTCATCGAAACTGGGATTTCGGACGCAGTTATGGACAAAGACTGTGGTGTGACGGAGCACGAGGGAAAGCACAAGCCGAAGTCATGGGACGACCCGAAAGGTTAGAAAGGTTCAAGTCCTAGTGCAATGATCTTCGGTTTCAACCTTTTCTATTTCTCTCTCTCTGGTCTGAAACAATCCTAGTGCACGATCTTCCGTTCGAAGCACTTAATTTGAAACTAAGCCTAGTTATGATTGTACTCAACCAATTTTTCATGTTCACTAACGTTTATAATGTTTGTTGGGTCTTTGCTGAAATAAAAATTCAAACCCTAGTGAGAGTTCAGAGTTAAATTTCTTGAACTTGCAATATCTTGCAACAAAATAGGAATTTAGGTTTTCGGGGGCCAGAGAAAGGAAAGCAAAAACCAGATTAAACTAAATGAATGCATATTCCTTCAACTCCAGTACACTGCCTGCCTGCCTAATTACATAGTTATTTAAGTATTTTATTCCATGTGTGTGTAATAACCTGACCTAGATGGCATTTGAGAAATTAATCTATCATTATCTTTCTCAATTATCTATCAGAGATGGCCGACTCCACCATGGTTGGTGAGAACTCCCACCGAACCGTGGCCGATTCTGATGTCAACAAAATTTGTTCGTCCATCACCTCCTCAATCAAGAAAGCCGACTTAGATTCCAAAGTGGCCAAAAAGGTAAGAAAATCTCCCTGTGGATATGTATATATATTTGTGTAGTGTTTTTTGTTTTTTTTTGTTTTTGTTTTGGTTAGGTACATAATCACCCACAAAAAAAATAAACAAATAAAATTAGAGACTAGCCTAGTGCACTAGGATCCCTCCACTGGGGTCTTGTGAGATGTACGCAGTCTTACCTCCACTTAGGGGTGGCAATTCGTGTTCGTGGGTCGTGTTCGTGTCTTGTCGATGTAAGGGTATTATATTAAATAGGTAAATCCAAACCCAATCCATTTAATAATCGTGTCAAGAATTCTCAACACTAACCCAACCCGTTTATTAAATAGGTAAACGTATTAAACCGTTTAATGACCTGTTTATCAAAATGAGACATTTATATTTAATCAAATACTAAATAATAGAAAAAAAATTGTCATAATTAACCCAAATATTCAAAATAAAAAGAAAAATCAAAGGGATAGACAATGTTTATGTTGAAATGACTTAACTATCTATAATAATTGGGTTTAAACAGGTAACATATTACATAGATCATATTCACGATTATAACATGTTGAGTTAAATGGGTCATAAACGGGTTACACAGGTTAAACCCCTCAACTCTAACCCGACACGGTTAAGTAAACGTGTTAATCGTGTTGACCCTTTTATGACTCAAACTCGTTTATGCCAAACCCAAACCCTTTTAACTCGTGTCGCGATCGTGTTGTGTTGTCGTGTCGTGTTGTAATTTGCCACCCCTACCTCCACTTGGAGAGGCTGTTTTCGGTAAATACTCACCCACTACCAATAAAATAAGAAAATAAATAGTACTTTCTAATGTCACGGCATGCCCTTCGTTTCATTTTTTGTGGTTAGTTTCATGGTTCATTTGCAATGACAGGGTATTTTCAAAATCTGATAGTACATGAGGGTTTTTGCAACTTTTTTTAAATAAATATATGATGTAACAAATAGAATCAGTGACTTTTTTAGTGGGTATTTATTAGTGAAGATTTCTATATAGTTTTTCTGGGAATTGCTTAGAAATTAGAATGAATTTTGCAAATTGCAACCAAAGGCATCCTTAGGAATATGGTTGTTTATTTAATGCGACAATTCTTGTAAATTACAAAGAGTATACATTGTTTATGACCGTGGATACAATATGACAGCTTTATGACTTCAATTTGTTGGCTTTGAGGTCACACTTATTCAAAATACAGTTCCAATATAGAGTTTTGTTTTTGTGTTCTCAATATGAATTTCAACTGTCTTCTTTTTATTCAGATGGCTTGTTGTGGAAAAGAGGGTTTGCCAGATACTCTTGCATTCATGGAGCTTGCATTGCAACAGGTAATGCATAGACCTTTGTATGAGATGATCTGAAGATTAGTGTGGATTGGTAAACTTAGGACTTCCTTAAAGTGATTCCCTTTTCCTACATTGCATCGTTAGTGGTATATGAGATTTCACTAAAGTCTGTTTTTTGTGCTAGTCTGGATGTTCTACATAAAGCATTGGTTTGGATGTTCTACTTCTACATAAAGCATATTGGAACATAGAAGTTAATCGATTGAAGAGAACAAGAAAACCAATGCATGCTACATCCAGAGAAAAGAGGTCAAATAGTAAGTAGTTGTATACACGTGATCGTTATTTATGGAGTCTTTTTAAGCATAAGTCCTTTTTGCATTTCTATAATTTTTTGGAGGGAAAACAATTATTTTGTTTGAAAATATCAACAAATAAATATACTAAAGTTGTGATTATGACAAAATACCAAACAGAATCAAATAATTGATATATTCTACATTCTATACGTTCTAAATGCTTCTTGATGCTTGGATTTCTTTAGCACTTGAGTTTGTTAAAGTAATTTCTGAATAAATTATAGTCTGTGAAGTTCTTCATTTTTTTTTCGCAATATAGATCAAGATCTGGTAAATGCTTCAACTTTTGATTTCATACTATTAAAAATACTGAGCTGATTTATGCAAGTAAAACTTTAAAAAAGTAGTGTTGAAATGTAGCTGTGTTGCTGATGTGCAAAGCCGTCATGAACTCTACGAGTTTGAAACCTATATGTGGAGCAAAGACTGTGCTCATGTCAGTTGTGGTATTATGTGTTGGTGATACTTGTGCCGCTTAACTGAGGGATTGCTGTTTTGTCTAAAAGCATTCCTAGAACATCGTGTTTATTAAATGGCTCTTGGTGTCTTGCATTTTCCCTGTGTAAACTATTAAAACTTGAAATTGATGTCTGATTGGAGTTAATTTTGCATATCATCTAAAGTTTGATGCTTTCTTTTGCAGGCAAAGCTTGCCTTGGACAGCCTTGAAGTGCCTGTTGGGTAAGCTTTTCCTTAATTTCATCAGGAATTTCAATCATGGAACTTCATGATGACCCCAAAGGGGGTGGGGACACCCTATGTGTTTTCCTTACTGACTGAAGTCACCTCTACCTTTAGGCATGACATTTTAGACATTCAGTTTAAAATTTGTGAATGTCCTATCTTCAGAGCTTTAGGACCTTAATTAATTTTGCAAATTTGAGCTGATTTAATTTTTTGGTGTGATAAAGAAAACAAAATTTTTAACATAAGAGATACAAGAAGAATCACTGGGAGTTCTTCAGAATTGAAAAGAATGATCAAAAGGGAAACAATACTAAATAGAAGGCCAAGGAGGATAAGAATTTCACCTAAACTCTTCAAAAGTAATTTCTCATTTTGTTAAGAAGTCTGCCTCCTGATTACCGACCCGTGTCTCAAGATATGGATGCAGTGGTTCTTTGATCAAGATCTAAGATCTCATAGTGAATATATGAATACTTTCTACAGGCCTTGAGATTATCCTTCACCCAATTTACAAGAAGGGGCTTCATCCTCCATATGGATGTTACCCAGACCTCGTGTAACTGAATCTATCCAGCCCTAAGTAGTTGGGATTTTTTCCCCCTCTCTCTACCAGTCTTGAAACCTTGACCTCTAGCTTGAAAGTTAAGAACCCAAGCCACCATTCAAGAAGGGGGAAAAAAAAAACGAAAGATCCAAAGCCACCAAGAATGAGGTAGACCGGTCCTAAGTAGGAATTGATATGTGAGATATTCTCAGAAGAATTTTCTGATGTTATTGGACTGTGCTTATGTGGGCAATGTTTTTCCTTAATAAATTCTTATTTTCTATTGGCAGTTGTGTGATTGTCGAGAACGGGACGGTCATTGCCTCGGGGAGAAATAGAACCACAGAGACACGAAATGTATACTCATCATTTTCTTTCTCTCTCTTTATTCACTGTAGCATGATGAGTTATAAGTTTGTTCACATGGTTTCTTAATATATCAATTGAACTATATTTTCTTGTACTCTTATATATATATAGCTTTTTCTAATTTCTGTGTTTGCATATCCGTTTTTACTTTTTAGATGATCCAAGTTATGTATCTTGCTAAAAGTTTTGAAAATTATATAAAAAAATTCAATATTACCCCGGGATAAATTTTGCTTACTTGTTGTTTAAATGCAGGCTACGAGACATGCAGAAATGGAAGCTATTGATGTTCTAATTGAGCAGTGGCAGCAAAATGGACTTTCACAGCCAGAAGTTGCTGAGAGATTTTCAAAGTGCAATCTTTATGTGACATGTGAGCCATGTATAATGTGTGCAGCAGCCTTATCTATTCTTGGTATGCTCTTTTCACCATACTACATCATGATAATTGATTAATTTATTTATTTTAGTTATACCTGACGAACATTAATATTCCCTTCTTGTAGGTATAAATGAAGTATTCTATGGCTGTGCGAATGACAAATTTGGAGGATGTGGATCAATATTGTCATTACACTCAAGTAGCTCTGAGCCACTTATCAGGTTCAATTATAAGCCTAATATAATGTGAAAAATTGCATATGAGATTCATTTTCCCTTCTTTGCTAGCTTTTATTTATAATTTAATTTATTATGATCGATAGTGTTTTTTAATATGCATGTTATGTCTTTTCATTCGGTGTCCAAAACAAAGGGGACTCAAGCTTTGAATCCAAGTAATCTGCTAACTCAGTCTAGCTATACTTTGAAGTACTCCAGTCATAGACCCATTTTAGCCAAACCAACCTTCGGCCAATGCCAAAGTTAGTTACTTCAATTATCAAACAAGGTTTGACATAATAAAAATATTAAAAACCAGGAAAAGCCGCAATTCCATTGAGATTGATCGAACAAAAGGCATGCACCTATATATTTCACTTTTATCTGTTGAACTTTTTTTTTTTTGGCATTTTTTTTGGAGTTCATATAAGAATCAACAACAGAAGGTTTTTTTTTTTTTTTTTTTTAAAAAAAAAAGAAAAGGAAATCTGTAAATGAGTTGGATTTCTGAAAGTCATTTAAAATGTTGTTGATTTTTTTAAAATTTCTTTGTTAATGGCCACCTTTTTCTTTTTTTAAGGAACTGTAAAAATATTTGTCAGGTTTGGTCCAATAAAATGTTTGCAGAAAATCTCGAGTAAGTTTTGTCTTCTAATCAAGCCCAAGATGCTTTGGGCATGCATGCAAGTTACAAAAGCTCGAAGAATCATTACATACTTGTACATTATTTTCATATTACCAATGTGCTCAGTATTGTAAACATATGAAAAGATATCCAGAGCACCATTATATTCATGCTTCTATGAACTCCATTATAGGTATAACTAAATACTCTTCCAACACAATCTATGATCAATAGGGTCATTCCAATTTGGTTTGGCTGAATCTGAGTTGGGGTAGCTTGTGGCAACGAACTTCTTAGGTGGTCTAAGAAGCGCAAGTTGCCTGAGCCAAATGCCGCCATAGTCATTCATGGTTCAAGAGTGTGTTGCAAACCTGATAAAACCATGAGAAATGGGTCCTGAGGCCTTTCAGAGAAGTCCATTTTGATTTGGAATTATTATTATGATGATGCTTTAACTAGACCAGATTTGGCGACACATCTCTTCTTTGCCATTTTGTATAAGGGAATTTTGGAAACCATTTGCCTTATTTTTCTTCTCGACGATGGGCCAAGGAATATCTTAAAAGAGCCGTGTCTCTGTCTCTGTCTCTGTCACTCACACCTCCACAGAGCAGTTTGCAAGAAAGGCCTTAGTAATAGGTAACATGAACTTTATATAAATCCCCTTTATTTTATTTTTTTCATCCATTTTGGCCACAATTCAAATTTGTTTAATATTTCTCCCGTCAGTGCAAATAGGTATTATGTTCTTTTATATAACCTCTTGCCTGATGTTATAAGCATAAAGTTATATTATGATGTCTTCTCGACGATGTTTTTTTCTATGATGTTGCGGATATTCAACCATAATAAGAGCTTAGGTCATCTTTCCATATTCTCAAGATGCTAAACAACAAAATCTTGTTTGAAAGCATGAATACTAGTGATGGTCAGTGTCTCTTTCCATATCTATAGTCTCTACAACACATTGGTTCTTGGTACTGTGTTAATAATTTAGAATGATGTTTAGAGTATCTTTCCAGAAAAAATGAAATGAAGTTTAAAAGGGAAGTATGTAAAGATGCTCAGAGAATTTTTACAGCAGATTGAATTCACTTTGAGATCTTCTGCTTACATTTTGTGGGATCAAAACCTGCATATTGAGGTTTAAAAAGTTCTATAGTTCCAATGAACTAATATCCCTCCATGATGTGTTCCATTACAATTTTTGGCTGATAGCCCACTTGAGTTGCATGTTCTCACTCTTTCTTTGTTAGCAAACTGTTTATCTTAAAGGCAGACCATCTGTCTTGTTCTTTTTTCTTGTACTTTATTATTATTATTATTATTATTTTGGGCAAATTACACAAATCACCCACGAGGTTTCTATATTGTGCATGTAGATAGAAGTTATAGTAATATTACAGAAAGGTCCATGTTGACTGTTTGACCACAAATAATCAATATAAATTACACTTTTGACCTTAAAATTAAAGTATTTATTTTTAATAAAAAAAAATATATTATATAGTAGGAAGTTTCATTTTTACCACTGGGTACACCCCATCCCTTCCCTACCACATCACTCTTTTCTCTCTCTAAACACGCACCGGAAAATCATCCATCAGTGCCGAGCCCGCTCTTGCTCACCTGCCGGAATCCTTTTTGGTCCGAGGATCAGACCTTGCTCACTGTCCCTTAATGCTGCCAGAACCGTGACTGCGAACTGCCATCACCGACGCTTCAGCCATGCTGTGCCTTGCCGTTTCGTGTACTTGCCGATTCGAAGTACATCGCCCCCGAATAGTCCCAAATTCCCAACGGCATCCACCATCGCCGCTGTGCACTTCCACCTCCTCCATCTTCGCAGTGCCATCTGAGTCCTTTTTGGCCGGTTCAATCTCGCTAGAGGTGTCCGTGAATGACTCGCGGCGGTGCTCAGAAAGATCGATGGCAGAGAGCTTGGATGGTGGAGAGATGGGGATGGCGGGGACGATAAACAGCTCGGTGACCATAGCCTTGTAGTTGAGGTCCATTGTGAGGACTTCACAGAAGTAGCATTTGTAATTCGTTTTTCGCTCCAATCCTGAATGTTATGCCGGATGCGTCTTTGCACAGAGAGAGATTGGAGGAGAGAGAAGATGATGTAAAACTCGGCTTTGATGGGCTCGGTTGATGTCGGCTGTGATGGAGGCGGTGGCGAGCTCGGATGGGATGAGCTTGGCTGTGGTGGATGTCGGTTGTGATGGAGAAGGCGGCGAGCTCGGACAGTGGAGAGTTGTGTGGTGATGGCGGTGACGGACCGACGAGCATGGAACAGAGGACTAGGGCCACTTGACTGTGATGAGGTCGGAATGATTTGTGGCTCTGTAGTTGGATTTGGGTCTATGATTGGTTTTGTGGCTATGTGGTTGAATTTGGGTTTGTGATTGGTTTTGTGGCTCTGTGGTTGGATTTGAGTCTGTGATTGGTTTTGTTGTAGATAATTTTGTAGTTTTTGTAATTTGGTCTGTGTTGGCTGTGATGGAGTCTTAGGGGCAAAATCGTAACTTTAACAATACACAAAAATTTTTAGATTTTTTCATTAAACAAATAGTTTAACTCTAAGGACAAAAATGTAAATTCATATTAATCTACTTACCGCAAACAGTTAACTTGGGTCTCTCTGTTATATTGTGGCCATTTTCTATCTACATGTACAAGTTGAAAACCTGAGGGATCCTTTGCGTAATTTGCCTTATTATTTTTTTTATTTTTTCTCTCTCACTCACACACTCTCTCTCTTTATATATATGTGTGTGTGTGTGTGTGTGTGTGTGTCTAGCCTGAATTTGGAGACTTTATAGTACTGTGCAATGTCCTTTGGTCTCCCATACATCTGTTCTGTTCTATTTAGGCAGTTTGCAATTCAATTGAATAGGTTATCTGCTTATTTTTTAGTTTTTTATTTTTTACATTTTGTTTTGTTTATTTATTTTATTTTATTTTGGGTGAAAGTGGTGGAGCTCCAAAAGGGAAGAATTTCAAATGCACTGGAGGAATAATGGCATCTGAAGCAGTCTCTCTATTACGAAGCTTCTACGAGCAAGGGAATCCCAATGGTATGCAATTTCATTATAATTTCTAGTGGTCCTATTTGTGTTGAAAGAGAGAGAGACAAAGAGAATATATGAAAACATATATGTTATTGAGTAAGTTATACAATAATACAATGGTGTTTATATAGGAGAAGCTACGGGAGTTGGTGAGTGGAGAACAAGAAAACCATATACATGATAATTCTATATATGGTAATGGGGGGTCGGTGACAACTCATACAATACTAACTGTACACGTGTGACAACTCATACAATACTGTACAACACTCCCCCTCAAGCCAGAGAGTAAATGTCAATAACTCCCAGCTTGCTACATATGGAATCAATAGAGTTCTTAGTAAGCACCTTAGTGAAGATGTCTGCCAGCTGTCTACCAGAAGGAACAAAAGGTGTAACGAGTCAACTTTCGATCAAATGAAATGTCAATCTACTTCAATGTGTTTAGTCCTCTCATGGTAGACTGGATTGCTAGCAACATGAATAGCTTCCTGATTGTCACAATGGAGAGGAATTGGGTACTGGACTGAAACCCCAAGTTCTTGTAAAAGAGTTTTTAACCAAGTAAGTTCACAGGCAGTGTGTGTCATGGCACGATACTCTGCTTCAGCACTGGAACGAGCCACAACTAACTGTTTCTTACTCCTCTAAGTTACTCGATTTCCTCCTATGAAGGTGCAGTAACCCGTGGTGGACCGTCGATCAGAAGGAGAACCGGCCCAATCTGCATTTGTATATCCCTCAATCCGAAGATGTCCAGAAGATCGATAAAGCTGACCACGTCCCGGAGCACCCTTGAGATACTTCAAGATGAGTACAATTGCCTCCATGTGAGGTACCCGAGGACTGGTCATGAACTGGCTCACAACACTGACTGCATAGAATATGTCTGGACGAGTGATTGTGAGGTAAATAAGTTTACCTACAAGTCTTTGATACATTTCTGGATCATCGAGTGGGTCACCATCATCCACCTTAAGTTTTATATTAGTCTCCATGGGTGTAGCTACAGGTTTCGAACCAAGATATCCAATATCCTGTAAGAGATCAAGAGTATACTTTTGCTGAGAAAGACTAATGCCTTGTTTCGACCGAGCCACCTCAATTCCTAGAAAATTCCGAAGTTTGCCCAAATCCTTAGTAAGGAAGCTAGAACTCAATTGATGGATTAGAACTTGTATCCCATCTTTTTCACTGCAGGTGATAACAATATCATCTACATACACCACAAGAATCACAATACCTCGTTTCGTTTTCTTAAAAAAGAGAGAATGGTCAGCTTGGCTTCTGTTCATACCATGAGCTACCACTGCTTTATTGAACTTATCAAACCATGCACGAGGGGACTATTTGAGGCCATAGATAAACTTCTTGAGATGACACACACTCCCCCTTATACTCAAACCCAGGTGTGAGTCATATAGATTGTCTCATTAAGGTCACTGTGAGTTGATGAAGTGGCCAATCTAGATTACCTGCAAGAGATATTATCACACGAACATAATTCAGTTTGACCACAGAAGAGAACGTCTCAGTATAATCAAGGCCATAAGTCTAAGTGTAGCCTTTAGCAACAAGTTAAGTTTTGAGATGGTCAATAGTACCATCACGCTTTTGTTTAACAGTAAAAACCCAACGACAACCAACAACTTGAGTATCAGTAGGCTTAGGAACAAGGTCCCAAGTATGATTCAATTTTAAAACGTTTATTTTTTCTTCCATAGCTTTCCTCCACCCTGGATAAGAAAGTGCCTACCTGTAGGACTTAGGAAGAGCAATAGAGGATAATGACAAAGAAAAAGCTTGAAAGGAGGAGGACAATTTATTATACGATACAAAATTAGAGATAGGGTGATTGGTACAGGACCGTTTACCTTTCCGAACAGCAATAAGTTGATCAAGATCAGAGTCCGGAGAGATAAAAGAATCTCCAGGCGTTGAAACGACTGGTGGAAGTGGCAAGGCTGGGTTTATTACTTCAGTCGTTGGGACATGATTAACTACTCTTTTCCGGTGACGAGCATAAACACGAAGAGCTAGTGGGATGCCAGAATAAAAAACTGGAGTTAGAAGAACAAACTCTTGAAGAACAGAGTCCTCCAGACGATTGCCTTCCTGAAATAATAAGGAACATCCTCAAAGAAAGTTACATTTGCACACACAAATTGTTTACGAAGAGTTGGACTGTTACATTTATATCCCTTTTGAGTGCGAGAATAACTTAAGCAAATACATTTGTGAGCATGAGGATCAAGTTTATCTCGTCCCGGGCTTTAGATTATGAACAAAATAGACACACCCAAATACCTTTGGAGGAATGGAAAAAGGATTTTTGTCAGAAAACATCATTTGGAAGGGTGATTTTCCTTGAAGGACCTTAGAAGGCATGCGGTTTAAAAGACAAGCAGCAACCAGAACTGCATTTGCCTAAAAAAGTTTTGGAACATGCATTTGAATTATTAAGGCACGAGCGATAGCTAGGAGTGGGCCATTCTTCCGTTCAGCAACTCCATTTTGTTGAGGGGTATCAACACAAGATGTTTGATGGATAATGCTCCTCGACTCAAGAAAGTTTTGCAAAACATTAAGTTTATATTCGAGGGCGTTGTCAGTTTTAATAACAAGTAATTTTGCATCAAATTGATTTTGAATTTCAGCATGAAAGGATTGAAAAACAGAGAATACTTGAGATCAATCTTTAAGAATATAAACCCAAGTTAAACGTGAATAATCATCAATAAATGACACAAAATAACGAGTACCAAATAAACCAGTAGTACGAGCTGGTCCCTAAACATCCGAATGTACTAACTCAAAAGGTTTTAAACTTTTATGAAAACGACACTTAAAAGTAGCCCGACGATGTTTACTAAGTTCGGAAGTAGTACAATTAAACTTAGAAAAATCAACTAAAGAAGGGACTAAGGCTCGAAGACTATTTGAAGAGGGATGTCCGAGGCGGCAATGCCACTGGTAAGCTGAAGAGGAGGTGGAATATAGAGCTGTCGGAGTAGTAGTTGATTGGAAATAGTAAAGACCATCCTTCTCAAACCCCCCACCAATCGTCTTCTTTGTCTTGAGATCCTGAAAGAGACAATGGGAAGGAGAAAAAGTAGCTGAGCAATTTAAATCTGATATGATTTTGCGAACTGACAATAAATTGAATGAAAATTGAGGGATATATAAAACTGATGAAAAAGTGAGACCCGAAGTGCGAAAGGTACCAATTCCATGAACAGGTGATTTGGCACCATTCGCTATAGTAACGACCGATGGTGAAAAAACATGAGAAATATCATAAAGAAGAGATGGGTTACCTGTCATGTGATCGAATGCCCCTGAATCAATGATCCAAGGCAGGGACGGACCCAGAAATTCATGTGAGGGGGGGCAATTTTTTTTTTACAATACTAATGAGAGAGAAGAGTGGCCGAGTTGGTGTACAATATAGGCTTTAATCTTCGGCAACTCGGAGGCTTCAGATCGGGTCAGAAACACGAACTCCGGCGAGTTGGTTCATCAGAATACCTCCGGTCATATCGGCTTGATAGTAGTGGGATTACGTGGGACGTGCAATTTCAATGCTCTTTTCAGGATTGGGAAGTGGACGAGGTATGTGTTTTGCTGGATCTGTTGTAACGACAGGAGGCAGTTGGCAGAGGTTATGATGATATGACATGGATTCCCTCTTCCCATGGTCGCTTCGAAGTTCGATGCTTATTCTTATGTCTTTCTGATTTTGATATCGTTTGATTTTCCGTGGAGGACTATCTGGCGTTCTATGGCTCCAATTAGGGTGGCATTTTTTGTTTAGACCGCTGTATGGGGTAAGATCCTGACGATTGATAATCTACAGAAAAGAGGTAACTGTCTTGTCAGCTAGTGTTGCCTTTGCAAACAAGATGGTGAGTCAGTTGCTCATACTCTCCTGCATTGTCCTGTGGCGAGGGATTGTTGGAATCTTATTTTTTGTCTGTTTGGTATGCGTTAGGTTATGCCTCGTTATCCTAAGGATTTGATTCGTATTTGGAGAGGATGCCCCGTGCGTAGTGTTGTTCGCGATTATTGGAGAGTTGTGCTATATTGTGTTTAGTAGTGCATTTGCAAGGAGAGGAATAGTAGAATGTTCGAAGGGAAAGAATCGTCCACGGCGATTCTGAAACTTCATATCATACGCTCTCTTTTCAGTTATGTGAAGAGGAAGTCCTGTTCCTCTTCCGAAGATTTAATTATTTTTTTGGCTTCTTTGGGGCCTGAAACCTTGATTCCACTTTTGTATAAGGGACGCGTTCCCCTCATGAACGCCTTTTTAATTCAATTATTGCTTATCAAAAGAAAAAAAAAAACACCTCCGGTTATGGTATTCAAAGCTGCTCAGCCTACTCCTGAGCTCCGCTTTCGCATCAAGCCTTAACATGGTGACTCAAACACGTCCACGCCAGGGGTATGTCAGGAAAAAAGAAAAAAAAAAAAAAAAGAAAAAAAGAAAAAGAAAAGATAAAAGTTAAAATAAGAATATGGAAAGTTATCAACGGGCCAGTGGCCTAGCAGTACCAGCCTCTTACCTCCCAAAGGGAGGTCAGGGGTTCAAGTTTCAAAAGAGACGTGTGTGTGAGTACCAACTAGGAAAAAAAAAAAGAATATGGAAAGTTTTACAAATTATGGAGAAAAAAGAAAAGTGAATGAGGAGCTGAGAGAGAGAAGAAAAAAAGAGGTAAGATAAAGATATAAATCTTTTGGCTCCTATTAAATCTCTATTGATTAAGGGTCTAATAATCGATGCAAATAGAAATTTTAAAGAGGTTATAATATAAGGAAATAAAAAAAATAAAAAAAATTTGGGACCTTTATATTGGGTAGAGTTTAATAATAAGAAGGAAATAATATTTTTAGGAATGTTATAATATAAACAAATAAAATTTTTTGAAAGTTATAATATAAGGAAATACAAATTTTGGGGCCTTTATATTGGCTGGAGTGATAATAGGAAGGAAATAAAAATTTTAGGAACGATATAATATAAAGAAATAAATTTTTTTTTTTTTTTTTTTTGATAAGTAAGAATTGTATAAAAACGCTCAAAAGGGGAGCACATCCCAAAGGAACAACAAAAAGCAAATACCACTAAGCCTTCAAAGAGGCCAAAAAATCTACAATGTCCTCAATAGATCTATAATTTCTACCCGAAACCCAACAAAAAAGAGTGGAAACAATGGAGAATTTCAGAACAGAAATAGGTGACTCTTTTCCCTCAAAGTATCTCCTGTTTCTTTCAAGCCAAATGCACCACCAAATACAAAGAGGCGCAGCCCTCCATGCCTCTCGAATGTGAGCCCCCACAGAACAGCCTTTCCAACCTCAATTAAACCTCTAGAAGAGCCAGGCATGACCCACAGAAAACCAAACAGGCGAAGCATCAAATCCCAACATTCCTTGGCCAAAGGACAATGCAAAAGAAGATGGCCCATTGACTCTTCATCCTGATGGCACATATAACATCGATTAACCACCACCTGATTCCTTCTTCTCAAACTATCCTGAGTCAAAATATTTCCCAAAACAGAGGTCCAAGCAAAAAAGGCCACCTTAAGAGGAGCCTTAGAACGCCAAACTGCCTTCCACAGGAAAGGACCTTCAGGCTCTTGAGTGAGACACCTGAAGAAAGAGGGGGCCAATAATGTTTTTTTGTTTCAACTCCAGGGGGGGCAAGTATATAGTTTTACAGCTAAATAATTTTATTTATTTTAAAAAAATAAAAATTTAGTACTAAAAAAATATATTTTAGCGGGGGCAATTGCCCCCCTTGACTTCTACTTAAGTTCGTCCCTGATCCAAGGTGTAGAAGATGAAGCATAGAGACACGTATTACCTGAAGTAACAATAGTAGTGGTAGAGGGGGGCTAATTTGCACGCTCACGCTTTACCAGTTTGGTGTTGGCGATTGACCCAAGAAGATGAGATTTCTTAGTATCCATCACAAGAGCTGCCAAACAAATGAGATGTAGTAGCAAGAGGGAGCCGAGATAAGAGAACCAAGATCTAGCCGAGATGAACCCGAGAGAAATTATCGAGGAGAGAGCCGAGGAGGGATCTGAGAGAGATTGCTTCGACGAGAACTGAGGTCACCGAGAAGAGATTGAGAGAAAACCGAGATGAAATCAAGATCGGAGTCTGAATAAGACTAAAAAAAAAAAAAAAATTAAAGAGGGATCGATTTCCGCTCTGATACCATGTTGAAAGAGAATATATGAAAATGTATATGTTATTGAGTAAGTAATACAATAATACAATGGTGTTTATATAGGAAAAGCTACGGAAGTAGGTGAGTGGTGAACAAGAAAACCCTATACATGGTAATTCAATATATGGTAATGAGGGGTAGATAACAACTCATACAATACTAACTGTACACGTGTGACAACTCATATAATACTATACAACAATAACATTCTGAGATTACTAATCCCTGCTTATATATATGGAAAATAAAAAAGGAACATAAAACTCCCAAGATGTTATTTTTCCTAATGCATCTTATAATTATTGTTTCAGCATAAAGCAAAGCAATTAAAGAAATAATTTTTAAAGAACGGTAAAAGATTCTTAAGAAATAATTTTTAAAGAACAGTAAAAGATTCTTACCTTGGAAGAAAAACCTTAACCTTTTTCTCCCCCGACTACCACCATAACTAATTAAGAGGCACTGCCACCACTGCTATCACCAGTACTGCATTACCATTAACGCCTTAAGACCACCCTCACAACAACAATTAGATTTTCATTACACACTATATAAACCTCCTCCTTTCACATATACTATATTTTTCAGAAACCCTCCAGTGCTTATGCCACCATTGAGACCATGACCACCACTGCCACAGACTTCTTCATCACATTGCCCAATTATCACCATTTTGTATTTTTGGGTACTGACTTCACAAAAATAGTTGCAAACGAAACATCTGCCATGGCTGCCATGTCCTCTAAAGGCTCTAATGTATTTCCACCATTATCCCCTCCTCCGTAGTTTTTTCTTTAATAATTACTGCTGTAACACCTGCCACCATCATTTGAACTCCACTCTGCTGCCACTGTCCCCACCATTAATATTTTTTTTTTGATAAGTAAAATTTATAAAAATCGCTCAAAAGGGGAGCAGATCCCAAACATACAAAAAGGCCAAAAAAACAACTCAAGCCTTCAAAGAGGCTAAAAAGAGAACAATCTCCTCAATAGATCTATAATCTCTCACCGAAACCCAGCAAAAAAGAGTGGAAATACTGGAGAACTTAAGCATAGAAATAGGCTTCTCCCTTCCGTCAAAATATCTTCTATTTCTCTCAAGCCAAATGTACCACCAAATACATAGAGGCGTAGCCCTCCAAGCATCCCGAATGAGAGCCGCAGCTGAGAAACCTCTCCAAGCCTCAATCAACCCTCTAGAGGAATAAGGCATAACCCAAGGAACCCCAAACAAACCAAGCATCAAATCCCAACAAGCTCTAGCCATGCTGCAATGTAACAAAAGGTGATTAACTGTCTCTTCATCGCAAAGGCACAATTAATATTGTTGCCACAGGAAGCCCACCAAAACTACTATTGTGCCAGTCGCATACCATTATGCCAGTATAACCGTCAAAACCAATACCCGTCATTCCTGTCTTTCACCATCTATGCAATTTTCATTCTTATAGAGAGAGTAAAAAATTAAAGTTGGTGAACCTGACAATTACAAGATGTGCCTCTTTATTTTTCTCCAAAAACTGAAAAGTTGAAGTGTCACAAATTTTTGGTTTGTAAAGTACTACTGCAGAACATGTTGAAATGCTGCCTTAAGGGCCTGTTTGCTTGGTGTTTTACTTTGGTGTTTTTGTTGCAGGGCTTCATTTAAGGCCCAAAAACATGTTTGGTAGCACTTGTTTTGTTTTAAACAGTAAAAAACAATGTTTTAAACAGTATCAAATTGGTGTTTTTTGTTGTTTCAACACTGTAGCCCAATAAAAAGCACTGTAGCGGATGAAACAGTCGGCCCAATTTGTTTCAGCTATATAAACATTTTAGGTCATTTTTGCACAAATTTTCTCTCTCCTCTCCCGATACTCTCTCTACGATTCAAGGGCGATTTCCAATCGCCTCCATCTCTATTCTCGTTCTCTACTCTGAACTTGCCCAAATCTACAAGAATCAGAAGTTCAAAACCCATTTATTTCAGTTTATCTATCTGCCTGCAAGAATCAAAACCTATTATCACCAGAGTTTATCTGTTTCTTCGTGCCACGACCTCATTCTTTGCTATCGCCGGAGTTTCCTTGCTGTCGTCGCCCTGTGTTGTGTCCCTAGCTTTATCACCGGTTGTCTTCTTGCTTCATACATGTTTGGAAGACTCCCAGAAAAGGAATTCTCACTGAAATCAATCGACCTCAAAAACAATTTCCAATGGAATGCTTCCTGTCAGCTGATTTTCGCTCAAATCAAGAACATCCAAGGCCTTTAATTCTCTAATATTTGTTGGAATACCACCTACAAGTGAGTTTCTATACAAATTTAAGAACTTCAAGCCACCAAAATCCCCAATAGCAGAGGGAATTTCACCAGTTAAACCATTGTGGGATAAGTCCAAGACCTGAAGTCCTCCATTCAAGCTGTTCTTCGAGGAAGAAAATAAACTGTCCATATCCCCACTCAATCTGTTCACCGAAAGCAACACACTCTGTAAACCCATTTTAAACACCCAAGATGGAAGACTACCAGTCAATGAATTCCAACTAATAGAGAGAAAAGAGAGAGTTGCAGAGTGATTTTTGAGAGAGAGAGGGGTTTGCTACCCTTGCAAAAATTAATTTATATATATATATATATATATAAATATATATATTTGTGTGTCCAAACATGTTTTACATGTTTTTGTTTTTGACTTATCTACAGCAAAGTATAGTTCCCAAACGTACTTTCGAATTTGTTTTAAAACACCCTACAACAAAAACGTTGTTTCTGTTTTAGCCAAAAACAAAACACCAAAAACAAAACGCATACCAAACGGGCCCTAAATGTCGAAGTTTATCAGAGATTTGATTTTTATTCACATTTTGTGGACAATTTAATAAGTACACATGAGCTTAGTGTCACATGTTAATTTTAATCATTAAAATTATCCATAAAAAAAAAAAAAAAAAAAAAATCATTAAATTTGTCTTCTTTTTCTTTGATGAAAAAAGGTATTCCATGCATGTTAAATCTAGCAGCAGATCAAACTTTTGAATCTTGCTACTTATAGGGTTACATTTTTTTGGGTTGGAATCAATGGTCAAAACTTTTATTTTATTTTAGGCTCAATAAAATTATAGACTAATGCTATCATGGGGGTCCTCTCATGATGAGCTCTCCTTATTTAATCATTGAATTGAAATGTTTATTAAATGACTCATTTGACTTTTCACATATCTCAAAAAATTGTCTCAATCCAATGGTTAAATAAGGAGAGCTCACGCCTCTTGTCTTGAGAGGGCTCTCATGATAGCATTACTCAAAAATCATTTAAAGCTCTACATGTCAATTGCCATGGTCCCATCTAACAAGGCTTGGGCGTGATCTGAAATGGATTGTGGAACATGGGCCACAAAGTTGCTCAAATCATTAAAAGCTGTTGTTATTCAAGTTAATTTCAGTTCATAACTCTAAATTAAATTATATGCCTTTGAAAATGGGAAATTGTAGATATCAATATTCTTTTCTTTCTATAACCAATATGATCTCATTATAGCCGCATTTCTATTTGTTAGTGCATTCACTTTTGTTAGTACTTTGAGTAATTTTTATGCTTTTGTTTATTTCAGCTCCAAAGCCTCACAGACCGACAGTCCAGCGATTATGAAACCAAGTATGTTTGGCTTTGCTACTAATTAAACAGGTGAGCCTTGGAACGCATTTTATTTGTGATTTCTGGTACTGGAGCCTACTTGGATACCACATTGCACAAAACAAAGCAAGCCGACCCCATGAATTTGGGTGATGCTCTTCAATGTTCTATTTTAATGCTTCACCAAAAGTACAGTATACTTCATTACTACTACATTCTCTGCCTCCATACTAGTAAGTGCCAATTCTGGCAATGGCTATGCTACCATGTTCATCTAGGTTCTTATGTCTACATGGACACGTTATTGGATAGAGACATTGTCACACCCTCAAGATTAAATACAATAGTCTTCAGAAAAATCTGGCGCATGACGGAAATCATAACCCATCCATATAACATAATAAACAATACTCTGCCATAACAAGTCTCTAGATTCCTCGTCAAAGAAGCTAGGAGCCACTTTCGCTTTTGTTAACTAGAATAAGCAGGAAGAGTTGTTCGGGAATCCTTACATTCCATAATTTATTATAGTTGAATTCATCAATAATTAAACTAATTATCAACCCATATCAATTTGAACAACTTAATAAAGTCTCAAGAGGTCTCCATCAACCATAAGAGTAGTCTCAATAATCAACTAGACCTAAACGATTTACATTAAATCCTCACTATAAGATCTTTCGTAAGAAATTATAACTTATCATGACAAAGCAAATGTTAAAGCACGTGCCTCTGCCACTTACCATGTCAAATAGAACCTGTAAGGCAGAAAATGTGTGAACTCACAAGCTCAGCAATATTAAAGCACAACAAACTGACCTCACTTGATGTCCTCTCATATAAATATAATCAACCACAATAAGTATGTTAAAAAAAAAATAAAAAATTCTCACTGCTAAGTAATTAATATCTTACTAATTACTGTATTTAATCTCAATTCAACACGAAACTCCACTACTTAACTATTTTCTCATCTCAAATCCGTTAATTAGTTGACTCTCTTGATCTCTTGATTAACAATTATCAGGTTTCACTTCATTAATCATGAGCCCCCAGGCTCAAACAAAACAGTGGCCCACTCACATTTATTATAATTTTCTGTGATTTTTGTGCACTTTTCTGTCATTGTTCCTATTTTTTTTATTCAAATAAAAATACTTCTATGGACCCAGGAGTAGGCTGGAAACATCAAACTTGTGTGGGAGTATGGTGAATCAAATCATTATTTTTTTATTCAAATAATTATTCCAAGTGTGAAACAGCCGTGATTGTTTAATGATTTTTCTAATATGAATGTTATGGATGTGGATCTTGTTTCAAAGCAGATAATATAAATATTTCTTATAAATTGGTTAACACCTAAGCAAATAATTCACTGTGTCAGGTACCTTTGAGGTAAGATGCACCCCTCTTGCTAACTTCAGAATTGCTTCATGAGATTAAGTACAAGTTGCTGCAGTTCGCTTATGGCTCGACAACTGAATCAGCTAGCTTGCAAGTTGGTGATATAGGGTATCAACCACATCCCTCAGATTTTAAGCAGCTGAAATGGGATGGCATCTGGTGGAAGGCTCTTCAATAACTTAAGTTGGGGCATTTTTGTATCTCTCCCATAAAATAAACTCTGAAAAAGGAAGGAACATAAATTTAAGTTTGATTTATGGTTTATTTGTAACTTGGCACCTAAATATACTCTATTGGACCATCTTATATATTATATAGATAAACATAGTTTGCTTTTAATCAATGATCAGGTCCAATATTTCTGTTCTTTTTTTCCTTATCAAGTTGCATTGAACAGGATGCCGCTGCAATTTTCATAATTGTGTGGTGAAGGTCTTCATTTTAGGAATTGTCTTTGATTGCTTGCAACAAAGCCTAAAATATCTACCATCATTAAAATCTGTTGGTTGGCATACAAACAGAATTTTAAGAATGGTAGAACTTTTTAGGTTTGGGTTCAATCTACAGTTAGGTTTGGGTTCAAATTTGTGATGTAAACATGGATATCATGGTAGAATCAACTTTTGTAGAAGGTTGGATGGTTTGATGCTGCAGAGTTTCAACAAAGGTGGGCTTTAATTATGAGGAGTGTTATAAAGTGCCAACTCTTATTTAAAGAAATGTGGTGTTTTTGACAACATCTAGATTCAATGTATTTACAGAAAGCACACTGAAGAACCAAGAAATGATAGACAAGACAAAAGTGAAATATTATTTATATGGTGTTGCATTCTGCAAGTGAATTGTGGAATTTATGGCACTTCAGAAACCAAAAGTTGCAAATGGGAGATTGGCAGATAAAGTTGTCCTTATGCTGTTGCCAAATGGAGTATTAATGAATCATCACACCAATCTCATATGTTGATAACCCTCCATCAAGTTGAAGAAGTTGAGCACTCCTTGCACAAAATGAGTATAAATACCTACATACTTTGCATGTGAATATCAAAGTCATCAAACCATTAACACTGGCTTTTTATAAAATATTTGCAAAAATGGATTATAAACAAGGCATCTTAATAATATCTTGTACCAAAAAAAGAAACATAACAAGAAAATATAAGTATTAATTCAAGTACTATGAATCCATGAAAATTGAATGAAGTGAATGTATTTGAACAATGCATGATGACAATATTAACAAACTCGTCACATGTATGGGATACATAATTGAATTTAGGTGATTCTCGATTTTTAATATTAGAATATTCTCATCTAAGTATTAAAGAAGATCTCAATAGACTAGTGCTAATAGACAAAGCATTACCTTATTTTTGTTGTAGCAAGAATTAACAAAGAGAACCAACTTAATCTCTCACTTTTGACATAATTTAGAGGTTACAAATTTATTTTTGGGAATATATAGAATCCATCCTTTCAAACCAAATTACATTTTTTAGCATGCATATAATTTAAGAGAATAAAATAAACTAGGTTATGATGTTTTCTTATATTTAGAAATAGAATATTTTGTGGTTCAATGCCTTCCCTACACACACACACACACACACACACACACACACACACGTGTGTACACACGAATTAAAATAAGTTAAAAGACGATTGCACTTTGACATAAATGCATTAAAAGATGTTAAAACAAAATCGTACTTTAATATAAATGAATAAAGATGAAATAAGTTAATCCCATATAAATGAACAAACATTTGTCAATGTAAAAATAATTAAATGAGCAGCCAAAAGGATAAATATTTTCTTCTTTTTTTCTTAGAAAATGGTGTAAGATAATTATTTTATTTTAAAAAATATGTGGGATAATGAAAAAAGTGCTTTTAATATAAACTTCAAAGAAAATAAAGAGTTATTGGCTGTGCAAAGTTTTTTTTTTTAGTTAAAAGGCTGTGTAAAGTTATAGTTACAAACTAGTTTATTATTGCATCATTCAATTCAAACTTATATTATGGTCAATTTATCTATTCAAATGTCTTTTTTATTTATTTTTATTTTTTATATTTTGTGGGTAATATCTATTCAAATGTCACCTAATGAATTGTGTGGAAAAAACAAAAACATAGTACATGCTTTAGAAAAGAAAATATATAGGGACTGGGGGGAGGGTGAAAGAGGGTTCTTTAGATTTTTAGAGAGAGAGATATATAGAGAGAGAGAGAGACAGGGCGTGGGGGAAGAGAGGGTTCTTTAGTTTCTTGCGCTTGTCGTGTGACCTTGTCAGGACTCAAAATACCCATATAAGAGGGTAGGCCTCTCAGAATCAAATTCATTTTATCTGCAGTGACTTTTCCCTTCTTATAGACCGATCAGGTAAAGTTTCTTTAATATACCAATCTTTGTTCTTGTTTTTCTGGATGTATATATCGATTTTATTGTCATATATGACTTCATTGAAAGCATTGATTATTGGTTATGGAGAACATTGTTGATCTGTTTATATGATATATATCCTCTATAAAGAACCAGAATATATACACACACTTCTATAATCACTGGTGTTCTAAAACTTGAGTATTCCCTAGGTTTTTGAAATCTAAGAAGATTTGTATGATTGTAGCAATATGATTTACTTGTGGGCTTATCTATTAAAGATATGGTCGCAATTGGTTAGAAACCCTATATATTTATTCATTTTTTTTTTTACCTAAAACAATAAAAAAAATTAGCCTTATATTCTCATAGAAGTGTGAAATCGTTTAGATCAAGATTAGGAGAAGTTTTTACAGGGTTTAAGAAGAAGAAAAAGAAAAAGACAAAGGATTATAGGGCTTGATTAGCATGTATCACAGGCTATGTTACATGGACTCGGGTATGTGTGTCGGATACGGGTATGTATCAACGCTCCGAACGTGTCAAATTCCAAACAGAAGGGCATATGGACACTATTACATATTTATTATCTAATATTTTATTTTATTCTATAGAGTAAAGTAATGTTTTTTTATATAATATAGTGACCAGAATAAACATTTCACTCATGTGAAGTAATAATATAAGAACATGAAATTATTGGATATATTTTTTAGGTACGTCCAATCAAAAGTGTCGGAAACATATCTCATACCCCTGTCCGAATGGTATGTGTCTGACACGGGTATTTCACCTACTTTGGAAGAGTCCATGTAACATAGATCATAGGTAATGGAGCTTTTTGTATATTGGGTTTGAGTTACGGACCCGAATGCTCTTCAGTAACAACTTCCTTCTTTGTGGTTGGTGAATTTCACCACTATAATGGTGAAATTTCACAAATAACTAAATACAAACAGGTGAAATTTCATCATTATAGTAGTGAAATTCACCATTGAAAGTGATGAAATTCAACAACCGCAAGGAACAACGTGAAATCGTTATTGGAAAGGATTTTGATTCTTGAGTTACGTTGTAATAGATGGCATTTGTTGGGTTTGAATCTCAGGAGGGTTACATTGAGTAAATTGGTAGTTGTCTGAGACAAGAAAATGGTTATATAAATTTATAATTTTATATATGGATTTAGCAAAGCTAACTAGAATGTGAATTATTTTCTCGAGGGGCTAGCTTGGAATGGTTGTATGGTGAAGAAAGTCGCAATCGATATGCTAGATACCAATTAAGATTAGGACCGTCGTCCAAGACCATGATACTTCGGAGTATGCTATGCTCAGAATAGATCTAGAGTCGTGAATAGATCTTGTTCAAAATTTTATTAACAATAACCGATTTATAAAATTCCAACATTTATATTTTTGGAGGAGGGGACAAGTGGTGGTCAACTGTTGTAGCATGTGCTTGAGAAATGAGGAGATAGTGGATCATCTTCTTTTGCATTGCCCAGTAGCTAGGGACTGTTGGATCTTGATGCTGACTTTGTTCAGTGTTCGGTGGGTTATGCCCAGGTCTTCTAGAGGCTTGGAAAGGATGTACAGTGGGGGCCCAAGTTCGTGATTTTTGGAGGGTCACGCCTTTGTGCATCTGGTGGTGTTTATGGCTTGAAAGAAATAGAAGATCTTTTGAAGGAAAGGAGACCCCTATTGGCGCACTTAAATTCTCCATTATTATCTCTCTGTTTTGTTGGGTTCTAGGGAAAAATTGTAAACCTATGGATGAAATAATTGATTTTTTGGATTCCTTGAGAGTTTAGAGGCCCTATTTGGCCTTGTGTAGTTCTTGAGGGATGTGTTCCCCTTTTGAACCCTTCTCAATACAACTTATCAAAAAAAAAAAAAAAAAAAAACTACTATATTTTAAATGTAACAATAAATTACTCGAAGTATCAAGAGCAAAAACAAATAACTAAGAAACCACGCATTAATGCACTATTTTTATGTGAACCCCTAACAGGAGAAAGCCATATTAATTAGTCCAGACAGATTAAATCCATTATTAGAAGGAAGGTAAGACAATACTAGGATACCAGATTCTAAACGTAAGAACTTTCTAGCTACAGATTCACATCAAATGATCTCTCATGCTGCCAGTCAACGAATTTGCTCCTCATGCAATCCGCTCTTTAACCAGTGCTTTGATTTCCATGACTAGTCACGTCTCACTGTTTATTTGTTGTTCGGAATTGGTGTTGATAATGTTTTAGGCTTCTCAAGTTGATGATGAAAACTCTGAATAATAATTTTTTCATGTAAAGCAAGATGCTAGGCAATGAAAAGAAAAATATGCATTATGTGCCTAGATGTGCTCTATAGAAAATCTCTCTAAATGTGTATGTAAAACAATATATAATACAACTCTCTCTCTCTCTTTCTATATATGTGTGTGTATATATATATATATAGCCAATATGCACTCTGGGTTCGACTGATTGACCTATTCGTTGAAACTTATTGGAGTGATTTCAACTGATCGAAGTTTTACAGGAAACTCAATGTTTTCTAACTTATTTTCATGTCCAAATTTTCAATCTAAAAATAATTTCATGCCCTAGAAACATCTTTTTAATTAATCCAAATATGTATGCTTTGTGCCCTAATATGAGTAATGTTAACATGCAAAATAAGGTAGTAACTCAAGAGGTGAATTTACCATTTTTCCCTTTTCATCTTCAAATACTTTATTGTTAGTGCCCATGGATCCTAGGTAAAGTCTGACCTTAACTAACCAACCCAACTTTAAAAAATATGCTATAAAAATAAAAATTTCGGAATGACTATTGTTATGAAATTTGTCAACACTACGTTCTAATATCCTCACACAACATGGTGCATGATGATTGATGGCTTAGAAGTATGGTGGTGTGTTATGCATCCAGATGTTTATCTTAAGCTTAAAAATTTAGAATTATAGGAAAAGGAAGCTTGTGGAGTAGCATTGGCGGAGCCACAGAGGGAATTTTTTTTAATTTTAATTTGGGATGTGTGTTTGTTTGTATGTGTATATTGTTAAAAAAAGAACCCTATAGTCTTAACAGTTTCCACTCAAGCCATCAGTTTCTTTCTTTTACTCTCTATCTCTCTCCAAAGCAAGAATAAGAAAATTCCTAATAAGTATGTGCAAAACCTAATCCTAATCTTCTTTTTTTTTCAAATTTATATCTTTTAGAATTTTGTAACACTTTTATATTTTTTCTACAGTTTATAGTTTAGCATTCCAAATTTCCACCAACAAGTTCCTATGATAATGAAACTTTTCTTTTGATCCTCCAACAAATTATTTTTGTTATTCCTTTAACATATGCGGCCGTTCTAATTTTTCGTCTTTAATTTTTTTTGTTACTTCTTTTATTATATTTTTTTTAATTAATTCCAATATATTCCCTCTAAAATCTCACTACATAGTTCTTCGGTTTATAGCCTCCTTCCTGATTTTTTATTGTCCTTCAATGATCTGTGTTATGAGGTCAAATTCTTTTCTGGAATAGTGTTATAATCTTTGCGCGTTAATCAATCTATTCTCTCATTTGTGAAAAAAGGTGCAACTGTCCTTTCCGCTCCACTTTCAAAAGTTATTAAATGTTTGTCTCTTTCTGAAATGTGTTTATTATCATATCACATTGCGTAATATAGGATAGCCTCCACATCGTCATTCATATCTCTTAATCCAATGTCACCCGTATATTGTCTCATCATATTTTACATATTTTTTTCCTCTATGATCATTGGAGTCTTCCACAAGTATTTTCTCTTCTTAGGTGTGCTTTGATTGAATTCATTCGTATGTTCCAAAAGTTGTGCCATAATGTGTTCATCTAGTCCTAATTGGGGCATTTAAGTACTCTTTTCCTTTGATAAGTAAACCTTAATCAAACCCTTCTTTTCTTTTTCTTCTTTGCAAAAGAGCAATTCGAACAACAGAAGATTATTCTACCCAATCACCACATTAAGCACTACGGAGCTGCAATTCCTGGCTTTTCTTCCCCCTCAAACTTTGCCACATTAGGTACTAAAAATAAGTCTGCCACTGGTCTAGGGAACAGCCAAGACAGACCAATAAAGCCAAGAGAAGATGCCACGGGTCCCTACCCACTTTAACACGAATAAGGAGATTGTTAAAAATGTGTCTGAATTGGAATAAAAGCAGAACTTTTATACTTATCATATTGAAATATGATGGTTCTTTTATTTCCTCTCTTTAATTTATTATCTTTATACTAATTTTGATGATTTTTGATCTCTCTTTATGTTGCCATCTTAGAATGTTGAGAAAAAAAGTAAAGTTATAGAATGAGACAGTTAAATTCTAAAACATGGAGGCAACTCAAAACAAAGGATTGACTCCTTGAACATCTTTTATAATTACACATCCTTTGTAAATAAAGATCACTTGTCGAAATTTTTGGTGTTAGAGTTGGATGGGATGAGCATCTGGTTGAAGGGTGATATGCTAACTGTATTGGGGTGCCTTGTGATGCAGGCTGTGGTGTTATTGGCATGCACAGAGTTTATCCAGTGTTTGGTGTAACAAGTTCTTTTTCTTTTAAAAAAATAAAAAAATGAATATGAGGTCTGCCAATTTTTTTTTTCTATGACAAGTAAGGTTGGCCATAGGGGCTGCACATGGTCCGGTTCTGCTCGCGGTTCAGGCCTTTTCCAGTTTAACTCAAAATAAAAAATAAAGAAATAAATAAAAGCTGATCTTAGAAGTTTCGAGTATTATACAATGTTTCCAACAAAAATCCTGGCCGGAGTTTCTTACAAATAGCTAAAATAATGAAATTGGAAGAAAATTAGAACAAGTGAAATGCTGAAATCTTGGCTTAGTTTCAATATTTTGATCAATTCAACAACTCAACCAAAAACTTCTGATATACCCACTTCCACAGAGAATCGGCAAGTTGGGATGATAGGCCAAAATCTAAATCACAACTTTAGAGATTGCATCAGTCACCAACAAATACTCTAATGACAAAGAGCTGATGGATATCATCTCTGCCACGATTGCCACCAGATCATCATCAAAGAAGCTGCTCTCCTCAATCCCCAGTTGTCTGTGAGTGAGGTTGTGAGTGAGGTGTGGTCGTCTTAGATGGTTAAGAGGGAGAGGAAGCAGTGAAAAGAAGTCGAGCGATCAAGGGCGGTTGACGACAATGGCGGTTGAGGGTTTGATGGTCTGCTTTGGTTTTGAACGGAGAGGGAGAGAGGAGTAAGAGAGCAAAAGAGGGGCGTGAGATGAGAATTAGGGATTTAGGGTTTCGTATTACTCTCTCTATATATATACGTATATATCAGTTACCGGTTCGGTCTGGTCCTACAGAGATTAATCTTGAACCAAACCGTTAGATAAGTTTTCTATATCCAGAACCAGTGTTATTAAAGGCCCAAGGCGCACCAAGGCGTTAGAGGTCCTTTGGAGCCTAGGTGCCAGACACGCCCTTAAGTGGAGTGAGGCGCACAAATGAAAATTTAATCTACCATAATAACATTCATATCTCATAAGTCATATCAATATTCTAAAAATTAATATCAAATATAAAAAGTAAATCCATCAACTATAGAAGCATCCAACAACCATAAAACAAAGCACAAATTTGTTTTCTTGGAAGGCAAAGCAAAATGTGTTTTTTTTTTTTTTATAAGTAAAATTTTATAAAAACGCTCAAAAGGGGAGCGAAGCCCAAAAGAAATACACAAGGCCACAAAAAGAAGCACAAAAAGAAATAAATATGCTAACAAAAAAGAAAAAAGAAGAAGAAAAAACAGTGCCAAAAAAAAAAAAGACACGAGAAAGGAAGAGAGAGATGTAAACAAAGATAAGAAGAGAGGGGAGATCTAGAGGAGAAGCAAGAAAAGAAAGAAAGAAAGAACTGACGTGGTTTTGTCGTTCATCTCTACAACTAGGGCTTCGTCTTCGTCTCACAATCTCATTCTATCACTGTTCGGTTAACATTTTGACTCTTGGGTTTTTTTTTTTTCTTTTTGTACAAAAGTTCCTTCTATCGTATGGTTGGGCTTTCTTTTTTGTTTATTAAGTTGCCAAAAGTACCCTTTTTGGCTTAAGAAATAGAACAATCATATTTTTTTAAACAAATATCAGTAAGGCGTGCCTCACAAACAGGACGAGGCGCAACCGAGGCACGTGCCTAGTAAACATCAGTGAGCCTGGGATGACAACAGGCACTAAACCTGAGCCTCGAGCCTAGGCACGAGCCTGGGCGCGCCTTTAACAACAGTGCTGGAACCGAACCGTACCGGAACTAGAGTACTAGACCAAAACGTACAGTCCAGTTCACCGGTTCCACCAGTTTTTTGTGCACCCCTAGTCAGCTTATATTGACCTTGTTTGATTTATTTAACTATTTTCTTTTTCTACATGATCAGATAACATCGTGGAGGCTGTGGATGGAAGAGTTGTGAGGCTGGTTTTATTTTGAATTCAAGGATGTCTGAAATGTTTTAGCGGCCTTATTTAGCATATGAAAGCAGCATACTCTAGATATTAGTAAAACCATTCAGGTGACTATGTTAATACAGAGTTCACTTCCTATTGAAGCTGCAATTTCTTTTGTATTTGACCATGGGAAACAAGAATTTTTATGTAATTGGATGCCTGGTGATGAAACATGGCAGAAATGTTCAAAATGTGATAAACGTCCACAGGATGTCAGCGGAGAAGCCGTTCCAGTTACGGAAGGAAAATGGAATAATGATGATTTGTGCTCCTTAAATTTTCCAAGAAGTTGTTCCCAGCTATCAACTATCAGTACCATGTCTAAAAATTCTACACCTACTTTTGTGTACCAGCGGAGGAAGCACCCAAGGAACTCTATTGCTGTTTTGGATGTCCAGTCAGCAAACACAAAGAGGAGTGATGCTTGCGTTTCTGCCATAAGTTCTGAAGCCCCCTCAGTTGCAGCCGAGAAGAAAAATGTACTTTCTCCAGTTGAACAAGAAAATGACGCTGTTAGAGCTCCTTTTATTCTTCCTGTCGAATGCAATAGAGGGGCCCTTGTTTCAAATTCCGAATCTATTAGTAGATGTTCATTTGCTGAAGAGCCCGGTCCTGAAGAAGCCCAGGAAAGTGACATGCAAAAAATAATAGATGTTTGCTGTGTAAAGGATAGTTGTTCATCATCGAAGTCAGAACTTGGTTCAGCTTCCTTGAAAACAGATGGGGATGACACTGGTGAATGCTCCTCTTCTGATGCATTGATTATGGAGGAATTACGGAATGATCTTTCGGAAAAGGATATATGCATCTCTATTCTTAGAAGTGAGGGGCTGCTTGAAGGAGTTTGCCCTATCGGCCGCACTTCTGCTGAAAGTATGACTACTAGTAGTTATAGTAGTTGTTTGCGTTCGTGCAAAGTTTGTGGTCAATCAGAAACTACTTTGAAGATGCTAATTTGTGACCACTGTGAAGAGGCATTTCATATGTCTTGCTGCATCCCCCGTATAAGGAAGACACCATCTGATGACTGGTTTTGCCACTCTTGTCTAAAAAAGAAGCACAAAATATTGAAGGAGACCAGTAAATCAACGGATATCAGCAGTGAAGCAGGCAGATGTAGAATCGCAACATTAAAAGGTGAACTTGGCCCTATAGCATCGATGTTGAAAGACTCTGAGCCGTATGCAACCAGTGTTAGAATTGGTAAAGATTTTCAAGCAGAGGTTCCTGATTGGTCGGGTCCAATTACCAAGTTAGTAATCCTCATGTTTAGTTTGATGGTTTTCGATTGTTTCTGTTGATTATTAGGGATTTCTTGTGCTGGGTTTAGAAAACAAGAAACAGGAGGACATGAGTCACTAAGTCTTATAATATTCGAAATTGGTAGGTGGATAATAATAATCTGCTAAAGCGTAGTGTGGACCTATCATGTTACAGAGTTTTAGTGGGCTAAAGTTTCACACGGTGCTTATGACTCTGTTTGTTTGGACGTAAAATATTTTTTCAGAAAATATTTTTTTTATTTCCGATGGACTCGATCTCAACCTCGACGTAGACCTTTGCCAAACACCGACAAAGTAAAAATAAAAGAATATTTTACCTGAAAAAGAAAATTATTTTCCAAAAAGAATATTTTACGTCGAAACAAACGGAGCCTATATGTTTATTATTTCTTTGGACAATTTTTGTGCCAAAAACCTGTCAAGACAGAACCAGTGTCTACATATTTGTATCAAATATAAACACAGCTATAGGTGATAGGACACAGACATAGGACGGTAAGAATATGCTATTATGGCAAATTTTTGAAAAAGTAAGACATGAACAAGGTGATAAAAAGATGCATTTTTGTGTACAGAATTATAGTATATATGACAAACATTATTTGATGACAAGTTTACATATGGTTTTATGTTTGTAACATGATATATGTAACTTATGAATCGAAGTAATCAATAATTACCCACGTGGCCAAGTGAATGAGACAACATGGTGTCAAGGACGCAATGCATGTGTGCATGTACGTGAGTAGAATGTATAAACACACACACACACACACACAGAGTTAATTAGAATACCTCTTATATCCTCCCATTCCCACTTCTTTGGTAAAAGTTAAAACCTTCCTGTTATTTCAATCACTTTATGATTTTTGTATGAATAGTGAATTTGATTTCTGTTGGGAAAAAGGCTTTGTTAGTTGTTGTAGTTAATCTGATTTCTCCATATAATTGTACATTCTTTTTTTTGTGCTGGACAAAGTCATATCCCATTGTCAAGGTTTTTAAAATATCATGCCGTAAGTGTGACAAGCTTGTGGGCGGGTGTACCTGGGTGGGTGCGAGGCACTGGCAGGCTACGGGTGCATGATCCCATATTGCCTGGGTGTGGAAAGGGAAAGTGCTATAAATGTAGGATTGGCACACTCCAAATGGTATGAGGTCTTTTGGGGGGTAAAACCCAAGAGCAAAACCGTGTGGGGTTAGGTCCAAAGCGGTCAATATCATACGATGTGGTGGAGTGGGTCGTTACAGTAAGTGTTTAGGCATATGTTTAATATTAATAATTTATTTAAAATTATAAACATGTTCAAGATGCATTGTACAAGTGTTTGGTAGAGACAGCCAATGCTTAGAAGTGTTTGTGCTTCTTCAACCAATGTCTATTTGGATACTTATAAAGATGTTCACATTTCTTTGCTTAGTTGTCTAGTCCCTGTAATTCTAATGTATAGTGAACGAATATATATTTGTCTCTTCAATTCTAGAATTCAAGAAGTTTTTGTGTCTAGTCTTGTGGTTTACTCAAAACTCCCCTATGTATACACAAGCACACATATGCATTGATATATATATATATATATATATATATATATATATATAATATAATTTTACATGTATTATATTGTAATTGGTGATGAATTAAAAACTTTTTAAATTTTCACACAATTCTTTATTCTTGAGATCGTCATCTTTAAAGGTTGTTTATGAAGTTCATCTGATATACCTAAATGCAAACGTATTCGGTAAATCTTTTTGACTTCAACTTTCTTACTAGTAGAAATTGTATATTAACATTGGGATTTAAAGGTTTTACTATGAAGGGGGAACAGGTTGGATATCCTTATTTTCCCTATGTTTAGGAAATTACCGATACAAAATGATACCGTCTATCAAAGAGAAAAATATATATATTTCTGTGTGAAGTCTAATGAAATTAATTTTTTTGGATGAAAATTGTTTGAGTGCATAATCTCATGGATTGTGTGAGGTATGTCTTATACAGCTACAATTAACGCAACAAATTTTATGCCAACTGTTTTGGTTGGTTGGTTTATTTATTTTTTGTTTGATATGTTGCATCTATGTCCATATCTTTTTATAAAGTTGTTCATTTATATTCACCTTCTTTGTTCTTTTTCATTTCCACTTGTTCTTTTAGTACCTTAATTTGGAGCTTCAAACTGTTCTTCATTTTTAATTTTTTCTGTCTTCTCTTGCCATGTGTTGTCGTAGTCTTTTCATTCCAGCTGCCTTCAGTTTTTTTGCACACAACTTTTAGATGAAAACTCCTTGTCTCTCTCTCTCTATCTGTTTTGTTATAGACAATGGAAAATGGAGGAGAATAATAAGAAAATGTTTGTTGAAAGATAATAAGTAAACCCCCATGAACTCTTCCTGTATGGTATCATGCTATCATGGTTTTGGCACATAGCACCCTTACATCAGCGTGACGTGCAAAAACTAAACGGTTATAATATTAAGTGTGTGTTGAGTGAGATATGCAATTCATATTATGACAAAAATGCCCCTGTGCCCCTAACCCATTTGTATTGATCCAACATTACAAAACCTGACTCGTTTCCCATTTTTATGACCCATTTTGCTTCTTGCTAAAAAACCCTAATATGTAATTCCAATATATATACATATATAGAGCCCTAATGCACCGGTTAATTCTCAATGTCTAAAATTGGATAGTCTCAATTCCTAAACCGTGTACCAAAAAGCATTTGATAGCCCCAATCATTTGATTCAAAAAGTACCAATATCTTCTTTCATTCCCCTTTTCTTCCTTGTATGTTTGCTATTGGAATTGATTCCTTGAAGCCTTACTAAGAATTTAAGATCAAAACTTGAATCACAGTTCAACGACTTAAGTTGAGAATTCAAGCGAGTTTTTAACTTTTTACCCAATTACCAGCGTAAACAATTTCTTCTTCCAGATTGCATATATGTTTAGATGAATACATGAAGTTTCAATGAATAGCCAAGTTGTTAATACCAATGAATAAAACCCAGATGATGCAAGACACTGAATCACTAAAGAAACAGAGCAGACTGACTGACTTTATGTGGTAATAGTGCTATAGGTTATTTCAAGGCACTTCTGATTACACTGGTTGCAAAATTAATTGTGATGGTGATGAAGGGGAGAGAGAGATTATCTGGGTTTTCTTGGTTGGGAGTAAAATGATGAGAAATAGGTGAATGGTAGACGAAGGTGTGGGTGCAAATCTGAAGATGGATTCACTTTAGGTAAAACGGCGTCATCTAATCAAGATCATTTTTGTTTCACATTATATATTATTTTTCTTTTCGAATGGAAAAATCGTCATTTTGCTTTATCATGCATGATTGAATGCAGTGTCCGTTAATTGTTTAATGAAGTAGCAGTATCCGACGTGGGGTGTAACAGAGCTAGATTCTATTTTGAATACCATTAATTTATGTGCTTCATTTATTGGATTGTCACTGTAAATTGTATACCATTTGCATTATTATTGATTGAACATGTGTCACCTTTGACATATTCCATTTAGCTCATGGTTGCTAATTTGATTTGGCGCAGTGATGTTGATACTATTAGTGAGCCAATGGAAATGGATCCTTCGGATTGTATTAGTTTGCAGGTAAGGCCTCTGTTGTCTACTACTTTATTGTTCCTGTTACCAGAAGATTTCCAGCAGTATTAGAGAGAAATGACTTTTATCCTTTTATCTTTAGAAATTAAATTCCCACAAGCCTTCTAGACTCAGCTCTATTGGTAATTGGCTTCAATGTCGAGAGGTTATAGAAGGTTTGGGAGAAGGTGTTGATGGAACTATATGCGGAAAATGGCGCAGGTAAACCAAATACTGTTTATATTTCCAATTTGTAATGACTATGAGCTGTGATCTTCTCTTTTGAGTATATCATGTAGGAGCTATTATGCTTTTGGGATAATATTGTTTGATAAGAAACAAATTCTTATGATACGAGTTTAAAATGTAGGAGACATCCAAAATCTGGAATAATTTCGCAAGAACATTTATGTATTTGTGATATTTGAGAGTGAACAGCTTTAACTTTTAAGAATTGATTTGTCTTCATCGAGTAATTTTACTCTCTTTTCCCCATAATCATTTTCCTTTTTCGATACTTGGTAGCTTTGTATGATTGTAGATGCATTATCTCTTATGACAACTATGTTGTGGCCCCATTGCTTAAAAAAAAAAAAAAATATCACCAGAAATGATATAAAAGATGATTTAAAATGGGATCACCAATACTCTATATTTAATATGATACAGATATTTGCAATTGGATAACTGGACAAATATGTGGGCTTGTAGGGTATCTATGTCATACAATATCATATTTTTCTAAAATATTTAAACATATTCATTAAAATAACCTCTCTCTCTTCTTCTTCTTCCTCTTTATTTATTTATTATTTATTTATTTTTTTATTTTTTTCTGTATTAGATATTCTTATGTCTCTAAACTGATATTTTACTCCCCATTGGCTAGTGTTAATATTTTAACTACAATCAACAATTTTATCGTTATTGACTTGTATGTGTTTGCATGCTCAATGCTGCTGCTCCAGTCAGTTGTATTCTAAAAGTCGTCGTCGTCATCATCTTTGCGTTTATCCTATATGGATGGAGTCAGCCACATGAATTCTCTTTCTCCATTCTTTTTTACTACTGTATTCTGAAAGTAAACCTTCTTATTTCCTACCATGAACAAACAAGAGTGTTGGAAAGCATATTTTAGGGAGATCAACTCTTTCAGTCGTCTCTTTAAAATGACTTGGTCACGTGTAACAAGGACCAGGAGTTGCTCTACAGAGGACCAACATGGTTGGAGTTGTGTTTGTCGAGCTATCCGTATTTTTAGGAAAATTCAAGCAAATTAGCTAGGTATTTTTCCATTGTTCCTTAAGTTTCCCCTTCTCCCTGCCTCCTTTTGAGAAAATGTTCCTTTTGATAGTTTTGAAGATGCATTGACTGTGTTCCAACTTATTCTTAGTTTCTTATGTAGTCATCGATTATCCCGAGAAGCCACAATTACCTAACTGAGCTATAGCCCTTAGTGTTTGTGATAGAGATCTTCTAAACCTTTGGTATAGTTTCAAATCCTATTGGACACAATTTTTTATTTTATTTTATTAGGATTATATCTTCCAAATGGAAACCCTTATTGGATGATCATGATACTTCCCAAAATTGTCAGAGTACCGTTGCTGAGCAGTTTTTGGACCAATTCAGCAATCAAAGGTAAACCCAATTCGTGAAGGAATCTTTTCATCCACAATAGTTCTTTACTTGCTTTGGTAACAGCAATATACATTGCCTCAGCTGTAGACAAGGCAACACACTTCTGCAACTTAGACTGCCATGACACAGTTCCCCCTGCAAAATTGAATAAAAACCCCGATGTCTTTTTTCTGCCATGAAGATCACCCGCCATGTCTGCATCTGTATAACCCTCCAACACCAGACGATATTACCAGCAACAGGCTCATCTACATTGACAATTCTTTTTCATTTAATTTTTTAAGTTTCTAATCTTATTAAACTTGATACCTGGTAAACATTCAAATTCTAATTCTGATATCAGATAGATTCTTAGTGTGTGACGAGTTAGTTCAAATGTAAACATTACATCTTTAAAGGTGTTGGTAACCGTAATGGTGTTTTGACTCACATATCATAATGTATGACATAAGTTAACTGATATAGAATATGCCTTATCATATAGCCCGGGAATAGATGCACTTGAAGTGGGAGTCGGGCAGTTTGCTCATTTTTGAGGGGTGGCGCCATCTCATTTTTCTTTTCCTTTTTTCCTTTCCCATATTGTCAATAGGGAGTCCTTGGGGGACAGAAGGGGGTGGAAAGATTATTCAACCTTGCTTCTGGGCTGCTCTTGCTCTCTTCGGTGGAGAAAGCTCCAGAGTTGTGCCAGAAAAGCAATGTAGGGTCCAGCAATCATAGCTTCTTCTTCCTTATTCTGTTTTTGTGTCAATTTCCGCCCATCTTTGGAAGGATCACAAAACCTATGGATGGACCAAACCCCTTCATTCCTGTGATAGTTGCGTGATATAATTGAGGAATAAAGAGCATGGGTAATAGAAGTGAGGTTTTCAAGTGGAGTTCGAAAAACATTGTGGAAGTAAGCAATGGCCAGACTAATTGGGTTGTCTTTGTCACGTCATGATGGAGAATCCATTGACTTGTGAAGATCAAATGGATAAGATGTAGTATTGACTGGCTAGAAATCATATTTTGAGCAAGTGATGGACGGGAATCATGGTGCCAAAATGGGTTGCTTATGATATTATTTGTCTTCCAAGGTAAAAGTCATGTCGCGGGTTGTGAATGAGATTTGGTGTAGAATATATTTTAGATAAGGATTGTTGTATTTCGCAGATGTTGGACAGGAATTTGTGGTCCTTGGAATAGCATCGTTGCCTCCTCGACTCTTTCTCTGGTGTTACTTATGGTGCCTACCACCAGTATTAGACAATTAGAACACAATTCTCCATTAGTTTTGGCAACTGGCTAATGCCCCATTAATGTTAATAATTTTTTTTTTCATGAAAAATTAAACGTTAATGACTCAATTCTTTTTGAAAGGTAAAACTTTAGTAACTCAATTGAACAGCACCGAAAAAAAGAACTCAATTGAACAGTGAACTTTCAGCTTTTCATTTCAGATTTAAGATTTTTAGTTCTTAAATTGTAAATCTAGGAACGAATTCCAATTCTTTTAAGCAAGTGCAGTTGTATGGAATTCAAGTTTTGTACAATATAAGAGGCAAAAGTATTTGAGAAGTTGGCAGTGACCAGATAGTTCATGATACAATTTTGGATGTGGTGTGCTCTGTTACATTCATTTCTGTTGGAAATCAGTTTATTTTGTTTGTTTTTGAGAAATATGAGTAATGTCATTTTTTGTTGGTTTACTTGAATGTGCATTATGCACATTAGCTGTACTGTAAACCTTCATGAATTTCCGGTTGACATTGTTATGTTTTACTGCAGCTTTTATGGGGAATATTGTAATCTGGTGTTTGTTAATGCATGCTATTGACATTGTTATGTTTTACTGCAGCTTTTATGGGGGATATTGTAATCTGGTGTTTGTTAATGCATGCTATTTTTCTTTTCAATTTATTGTTTTGTTTATTTATTTTATATCTTTTGTTGAAAGTATGATTTTGAATGCTTATTATGCTCAATAGTCAAGATGCTTAATGTACTGAGTTATTGATATCACAGGGCTCCTCTTTTTGAAGTGCAATCTGATAATTGGGAGTGTTTCCGCTCTGTCCTTTGGGATCCTGCCCATGCTGATTGTGCTGTACCCCAGGTAAAATAACCTTATCTCTTGGTTTGTTCCATCTTATGGGTTATTTTCACGTTTTAGCAACTTTGTAGAAATAGGTCATAGTATTGACACTCAGGTTGGTTGTTGAGCAGCGTATATTTGTGTTACTCTCACAGTTCTCGTCATTTGTACATGAGCAATATCTCAAAGATTGTGCAGCCTGTTCTCATGATAGTTTCCATAAAACAAACACATATTTTAGTTACCTTTATATATATGTGTGTGTGTGTGTGTGAGTGTGTGCGTGCGTGAGTTTTACCTTTTATTTTCCCATGATAGTTTACGTTTTTACCCCCCTCACCAAGATTCCAGAATATGTAGAAGAATTTGTGTGGAAATTATGATTGTCAAGAAAGTGGGAATCCAGGACTTGATAATAAGAGTATAAGAACTAGGGAAACACAATCCCCCCGACTGGAGGATTGTGCATGAAGAATTTAAAATATAGCCAAGGAGTGAAATCTAATTTGTACAAGGTTTATGATGTATTTTGGTTTTTAGTTTCTAATGGGGGCTCAAATCTTTTTCGTAATTTTTTGCCTAATTGGCCTTGAAAAACATGCTATGTGTCACAATATAGCAAGATACATAGGTTTGATCTGTTTCTTTGGGCAATGAGGAACCTTTTGACCACGCGCCCTTTGGACTTGTAGCTACAACTTAATCCCAGATATTCACAATCCCCTGCAAATCATGGATATTGTTTAAACCAGGTCTTAGACTTGAGACCCCAAGACAGTATGCAACCCTGATAGATTACAGACTCAATTTGTTGGTTTTTATTTTATTTTATTTTTTAAGATGTGGTACTTGAGACCTCAAGATAGTATGCAACCCTGATAGATTACAGACTCAATTGGTTTTTATTTTATTTTATTTTTTAAATTTTTTTTAAGGAATATGTGGTTGTTGACTGAATAGATTCATATAGTAGCACCTTTTAATCAGAGCATGGCTTAGTTCAACTTTTGTATTTCAACATAATGCACTGAGTAAATCCACCTACCTAATCACCTAATTCTTGTCTTGCTATGTTAATGTGGGGTTAGGAATTAGGATATTAGTTTGAGTTTGGGGGCAGGTACCATGTCGTTCACATGACAATGATTTATCTTGAATGGGTATATGCATCCACCATATACAATTGAACATGCAACCAACACACATCAGATAACTAAAGTCTTTTATATAATTGTCCTTAAAGCTCTCTTATTATGTCCCTTTGGTACATCGTTGCTTCAAAACAAGTGAAGTACCCATGTTAAACACTATTTCACAGAAATACACCATTTTATCTAGGAAAATTAAAGAAAGATATTACAAAGTATGAATATGTAGCTGACATTGGCTTTGGGTATTTGTAAGATCTAACACTTGCGTACCACTCCCAACTTACGTTCCTGAGTTCAGTCTGTTGTTTAGAACACATTTGCAATTCAAAAGCTTTTTAATAAATTAAACAATCTTATCCCTTCATGCAATGAATGTGTGTGTTTGTGTACAAAGTTGTGGCATGATAAGAGGCAATCTGTATATGAAGTACGGTAGAATATGTTCTGATGATATATCTTTATAGTAAAACGTTCTCAGTAACTGCCTTTTTTTGCTTTTGATGTTATTCCAAAAGCATGGATGATGAACAGAGGAGTCTATTATTCATTGTTGTTCTCAATTGGTTTGCAGCAGCTTTTTCCTTTATTCACAGATTTTTTTTTTTTCCCATTTTCAGTTCATTGGTTAGACCTTAGTGACTTGAATTATGATGATTTTTACTGTCCTTGTAATTTCCCTTTTATTTTTCTGTTTCAGGAGCTGGATACAGATCAAGTTCTAAAGCATTTGAAGTACATAGAGATGGTATGTCTTAGCACTCTTATTCCAGGATCTTCATGAACTGTAAATTGTTATATATTGTAGTAAAATGCTACATATCTGTTGGGTTCTAATAATGTTACCAGTGGGCTTTACCTGTCACTTGTTACCACTTCCATCTACCTACCAATTTTCTAACAATCTATGCCGGAAGTTTAAACAGAATATCATCTGTTAAATGAGCAGAGAAGCTCCTCCTTTTTCATTATATTATTTGGATAGAAAGATCTCAAGAATGACCATTTATAGGGGAGAAATCCAACAGGATGGTGTGACTGTGTGAGCTTTATAATATTATATGCTTCCATCAACCTGCCCCCACTAACTTTTCACTTAATTTTCATGAAAGTCTTGAAATCTTCGTATTTTCATTTATGAAAATATATATATATATATATATATATATATTCTTCGTATTTTCAAGTTTTTTCTTCACTTTCCATGAAGATATACATGCCTTCTCAATGTCTGTGTGAAGTCATATAAGTTTAGATTCTGTTTTTGCGTCGTGTTGTTATGGTAAACTCGTGGGCACTCATCATTTCATCTTCTGTGTAGTTGAGGCCTCGGCTGAATGTTAAAAGGCGCAAATTGAGTTGCAGCAACAGTGTCGGTTCCCAAGACCTTACAGAGAACGTGAAAAATGTACGAACTCAATAGTGTCCTTGTCATGTTTCTTGTACATGCATACAAGTTTTGAAGGTTTAAATTTACTGAGCTATATCTTCACCATATACCGTTGCCTGGTTTTACAACTGTTGGGAAAGTTTTTGAGGTACAATATATTTGTGGAAATGGTAGAGGTGGGCCTCTGCCTCTTGAGCATGTGTCATCCAATTTTCACATTTACTGAATTGTGTTTTTTCTTAAATTTTTTCTTATTCTTTCCCTTTTATGCCGTTGGCTTCTTGTTAATTTTGGTTTTTCATTTTGGTGATTGTTAAGCAAAAGATTCAGTACAGTTACTAGGAGGAGAAGTGATGCTATTAAGCTGTAGAGTTCTTACATATTCAAATTTGTAAAAATGTTGGCAAAAAATGCAGCTCTTTTGTAGAATGTGGAAAGGGATGGTCAATGACTGAATAATGAAGATTAATAACAGTGAGGATTTTCAATCAATGTTTATTTATTTATTAATTGTCATCACGTGAAACCTCTTCTACCTTTCTAAAATGGAGTAAAAGGTCGAGGGTTCAAATTTCTGTTGGACAAAAAACAGGCAGGTGCGTGAGTTCGTTGCCAAGAAGAAAAAAATGAAGGCCTTTGAAAGAAGCATAGTCTATTTCTGTCTTTTCCTTTTTCTCAGGATAAGTCGAGGAAGTTTATGTCATAGAGTTCTTACATTGCTTAAATCGACAACAAATCCTAGAATTGGAATACTTAATTGGAATACTGTTGAATGAAGTACTTTAATTTGAACCAACAGAACCAGATTTGTGTATTCCTGAGAAAAATTGGTATTGCAAAAATTACATTTGAAAGCAAAGAAAGGCAATTATCTGATGCAATAGTAAATTAATGAATTGATGATTTTGAGGGGTTATTTTGAAAGGGCCACCATATGCACGATAATATCGAATGTTAGCTCACAATGTGAGCAAAACCACTGGTATGAATTGAAAGATCCTGGAAAACTGTTAACAGGTTCAGAAAGTAGTGCAGTCAGTGTATACAATTATTTCCATTGTTCATCCGCATAAGAAAGAAAGCAATCTTGACTTGATTATCAGTCCATAACCACTCTGCCTGATCTCATGCCAAGATTTTGATGCCGTAACTGTGAGTTTAGCAGTGATAAATTGAAGAAAAAAACATAGAAAATGCAGTGTGTTTGCATATGCAAGAAAAAAGAATATATCACCAAGTACAATTTTAATAGAATGAGATATTCAGCAATGAATTTTATGAAAGCACCACAAAATAAATTGTCCTAATTCCACAAAATAGGAACATTTTTGCTGGATGAAAGCCAGCACCTTTTCTATATATATTTCTAATGTTGTACATCAACTTTCTTTTTGATTTACTTGCCGTTGACCCAAGAAATGTCAAAAGATTGCGCAAGGCACTAATACCTGGCAAGAAAAGCAACTTAAATATATACACCAAAATACATTTTCTGTCCAATAATTTAAAAGAGATCATATTTTCTCCCTTAGCTCTGCTACTGGGACATAGATAACTGGCTTTTCAATGAAGGGGTGTGTATCTACTTTATTAGATCTACGGTCGGGAAGTCCCAGTAAAACCTGCTGGAGTTTTTCTACTTTACTCTTGACCTTACAGAGCCTCTCCAACTCAGCTTCTGCTTCTTGTACTCCAGCTGCATCCCTGAAGTTAACTCGCTTCCTCTCCCTCCTAACATTGGCTTTCAAAGATTTCAAGCTCACATCATCACTGAACTCCATACAAGCCTGCATAGAAGAAAATATCACGATACAAGCATGACTCCTACGGTTTCTTTGTAAAGACTTAAGGTTACAAGTAAATTACTTTCAAATCAATGGTTCTCAAAGTTGGCATGGACATATTTTCAATGCAAAATGTTAACCCACGTTTTCAATCAAAACTTGACCCAATCATGGGATTTATGTGATTTCTTTAATACTCCTATTGTTTACATGGAATGTGACATTCTGTACATGGGCAACCTGAAGTTTCTCGAGTCAACAAAGATTTGAGCTTTCAAATAATTTGGTCAAATATATAATTTCACCTATAGATGTCATTGCCTGGTGCAACAGTATAATGCTAGGTTGCCCAGTGTAAAAATGCAGGTTTGAGTGTAGGAGAATCTAATTTGTATATATATACCAAATAATAGACCCGTATCTACTCTTTTCAACATCTGCATTGGCAGGACCAGTACTGGGTTAAAGGCCTTTACAAAATTTCACAAATAAAATCCAGTGTAGAATGAGGTGTGCTATTACATAAATTAAAGAGAGAATGAATTCATTATAGCGAGCTGAGTTTTCCTAACAAAACTTTATGATATGCAGTTTTAAGAAAGAGAATGCAATCTCTAATAACATGGCATCTAAAATATGTAAGCTCCTTTTTCAACCTCAAGAAATGGAACCTTTTTCAACTGCATCCTACTTTTGCAGTAATCACTTTAAAACTTTCAACTCTGAGTTCGAAAAAGGAAAAAAAAAAATGTTTTATGTGAAACTCTAAAAACCTACAAGATTTCTTTCCTCAAGTTGCTTCAGTTTTTAGTTGATATGTATTATCACCAGAAAAGAGGCAGGAGTTTCAGCCTAACAGTACCTTGTCTTTTTTGGCTGGTGTCATAAGTAAATCTCTCCTGTGTTGCTTTTTCTTTAAAGAACTGATTAATGACTGCCGGTTCTTTCTCCTAAGTAATTTCTTCAAATTCTTAGGTGCAAGAGCTCCTGTTGCTGATGGCATATCCTTTGATGCCATTTGATCAGCAGTTTTGTGCTTTCCACTTTCTGATCCGGATTCCTTAGAGAATTTAGGACTAACACTATCAAATGGTTTTCCTCTCTCTGCCTGTATATGTCCAACAAAAAGTTATAAAAGTTATCAGAATCCTAATAAAATTCAATAAGTAGATTTACTTCAGCCTTAAATTTTATGACTCATATGAAGCACTCAACAAAAATATTTCTACCTCATAAGCCGCTACGAAAATGAGAACTCAAAAGACAGTTTAGTTTTAGTCAATAAAATGCACCTTTAAGAATATTATCACACCCACAAAAATACTCAACAAAAATATTTCTACCTCATAAGCCACCACGAAAATGAGAACTCAAAAGACAGTTGAGTTGAAGTCAATAAAGTGCACCTTTAAGAATTTTACCAACCCCACAAAAATACCTTAGCAGAATTTCACAAAATAAATAAGCCAAAGTAAACTTCATATGCATCTATTCCTTTTTCTTTTCGGTGGGTAATACTGATACATCCCTTCCCTTTTTACTACTTGAAAGAATTTACATAAAATAAATGAACTAGCAGTGTGATTTCCACGATGCTTTTAGGACAAAAATGTGGGTTAAAATTGGAAAATATTTAGCAAGAGAACTGAAGATAGGCACTTAAAAGTGTCGCATACCATCTTACCTTTCTGGCTTTAAGTGCTAGGTAACGTGCATTCTTGAACCATTTGTTAACCTAAAAGTGAAAATGAATGTGAGGCATTAGGTGAAAGAAATCAGTATGCTATAAAACAGTAAATTTCATGACCAATGCAATGCTATGCCCCTTGCACATACTCCAAAGCACGTTCACTCCAATAATAGTAGATCATCCTAAGATCCCTGAATTCTATATGCTATAAAACAGTAGTTTTCATGAGCAATGCAATGCTATGCCCCTTGAACATACTCCCAAGCACGTTCACGCCAATAATAGTAGATCATCCTAAGATCCCTGAATTCCTGATCAACTAGCCTTTTTTTTTCCCCCCCATCAAATCAATTTTCTTTAGGCTCCATCATTTCCAGAGAACTTAAATCCAGGAAAGTGTTGCATTTGGTTGCATCATGGACTCATACACTATAAAGCTAACATCTCTATGCCATAGAACTTGAAGCAAGACCTAAAATTAGGTTCACGAGACTTTGTACATATAGCATATTGTTCTTTTTTTTTCATAAGACATATAGCATATTATTCACAAAACAACTTCTCGCATTTACCAAAAAGAAAAAGAAAAAGAAAAAAAGCCTTTGCTTATTTTGGAAAGTTTTATCAATTGTTCATTTGATATCAATAACCTTGTGCAGATAATTTACAAGTAGTGACAGTTCATAAGGCATTTTGGACAGCTCTTCTTTTTGCATTTCAATCTGATAATATTTACCTTCTCAGTTTCAATACCCAACTGCTTGGAAAGGTTCTCTTTGACAGCTCTTGAGGGAAGTTCATTCTCAGCAAACACAAGTCGGAGCTTCTGTAACAATATGCAAGAAAAGAAAGGATGCAATCAGCAAACTTATTAAGCAAGTATTTGTTAAGATAATAACATGTATTGACAGGTACTTCATGTAGTGAAAAGGAACCCCCAACTACCTCAACTGCATTAGGCGGAATTCTGAAAAACGACCTTTTAATGTGTCCACTTGGAAGTTTCTCTATGACTTCTTTAGCATTGACATTTGGACATTTTTTCTCACTTTCACATAGAGTCATAAGGGTGGTAGCTGCATCAGACTCCTTTTCTCTACGCTTTCTTTTAGCAGGACCCCAATCTTCATCTTCACTAATTTGATCATTTGCAGGAGCATCCTTTCCAAACATTTCCTGTTAATTGAGAGAAAAAGATTTAAGGAATTACACAATAAGAATTTCAAAAAAATTAGTTCCAAAATTACAGAACAAATAACCACATAGTATCATATTCCGTGTGTGTGTGTGTGTGTGTGAGAGAGAGAGAGAGAGAGAGTTTCACTGTGTCCAACAACATTCAATTTTTAATTACTTGTGCCACCACAAAATTATAAATCGGTAATAGGTCGTTTAATTGTTCAATCATTTTGGAAAGCAACTTAAATGAAAATGCTATCTAATAGGACTTCCAAATCAAATCAACTTCAAGAAAGTTCATTTTTAAATACAGAACAAAATCAGGTGCCACTTTTCTCCCTCTTGCTGGAGAGCTCTAGAAGTTGGTTTGGAGGTTGAGAAAAAAATATGTTCAACTATATGCTTAAGATTTAAATTTCCCCTTCACTTGTTACCCAAAAAAATTCGAACAAATAGGCATTTTGAAGTCACTCTTGTGGCCAATCAAAGTTTGTTGCATCAGACTACCCATGATTACCTATATCTAAACTTCCTGGAAACCGAAAGATCAATTTTAAGTCTTAAGCTTGTAACTTAAATGTACTCACAACATATAACTTTTTATAATCAACAGCTATTCGCTGTCTTCGGCCATGTGTAATTTCACAATCAGTTGTCTCGTCAGAATCTACTCCAATAATCAACTCAGCAGATGAATTTTGGAGGCCCTTGCTTCTTTTAGCTGACCTTCCAGATTCAGAAAACACTTCATCCTCAAGTGACCATGAACTGCTGGAACTGCTTGCATCATCTGAAACATCACCTTCTGAACCAGCCCTGTTGCAACTGCAGCTATTCTCAATTCTTTCTGGATCGTAGTCGTCATCTTCAGAATCTTCGGAAGGCCATTCTTGTTCAGGATCCATCAAAGCACCCCCACCATCAGGCAAAGCTGCTTCATCCTTGAAGATGTCCTGTTTTGATCCCAGAAATAATTTTCTTCTTTTAACAATGAAGCAGCAAAATCAAATTGAAAGGGAGTGAAGAGTTTCTATTGTGATCAACCTGCCAATTGCTGCCGGTGGAGAAGTGGGTACCTATATGAGCATTCATAGCTTCTATTATTTCCATCTTACACTCACAAAATTTGCAAAACCAGCCTTGATCTCCTGGAGGAACTGGGTATTAATTAATATACCAAAAGTAAGTTTCATGAAGAACATGAAATGGCTGTTTTACTATATTTTTCTTCAATTTATTCATAAAATAATAATAGTTTAGTAAGAACTCACTGTTTTCAGTTAACAGTGGAGGATCGAGACATTTTTGGTGAAAAGCACAGTTGCATGTCCCGTCACAGAGTATAATATCATTATCGGGGAAAGCTTCTCGCAACTTGCATTTTGCACAGACTATCTGGATGTAACAGGCATAAGATGATAAATATTTTAGTCGATGTTGAAAAAATTATAAGAGATTCTAAGTTGTGGTAGCAAGTGTCCGCTATATGAATATCTGTTTACGCGATTCAGTATAAATAACCAGATTTTTGGGGGCTGATTGGAATCCAAAATTCTCATCAAGAAGTAAGTTAAAGAAACCAAAATTCAGTTGATTTAATAGGTAGGTGTAAACATCATGTGATCTTCAGGCTTAAGCAGGTTATTTGCTTCTGAAATTGAGATTTTAGAAACTAAATTTGCTCATTCAAGCAATTGAAATGTGTTTGGGTAAATTCAAAACAGCCCTTACAATGACCATTTTGTAATGACTTATTCTTTTATAATAAGAAAAATCCAAATAAAGTGGCAATACATGCTTACATGTTCATGATATACAGATCCATCTGGAGCAATTGCAGAGCCTTCAATGCATCCCACAGAGCTAAGAAGATCCAGCTGGCGAATGGCTTCACGGATTCCAAGTTTACACTTTAATATCTGCTTTTTAGCTCTTTGTAGTTCCTTTTCTGGCTTAATTTTTTCTCGACTGAAGTAAAAATTGTGAAAAGAAAGGTTGATATATAAATAGTTATGTAAGAATGGGCAAAAAGTGGAAAAAGCATTATGCCATGGAAAAGTTACTAATAAGAAAATAAAACCCATCAGAGATATGTCCTCCTCAGAAACCCTTGAATTTAAATTTTTAGTAATGTTTTTTCAGTTAATTTTTTAATATAATAGAACAATCTATAACCGTTAGTGTTATTTTCCTTGAAAACCACTTAAAATTTAAGACATGATGAGAACATTTCAAACTTATAGCATTGTTTTCCATTTTATCTATCTGGAGAGAGAGAAAATTTCATGCAGGTAACCTTGCCAAATTGAACCCTTCCACTGTGCTACATGCATCCGTGCTGTTGACAATCCACATGGCATAAGTACCATGTTGGCCACTAAACTTGCCCCCTTAAGTACCACTGCCAGTTCCAGGCTACGTTGTACTCGTAGAGGTTAAAGCTCTCATTCAACAGCGGAATTTTCCACTTGCTGACTTGCCCCCTTAAGTACCACTGCCAGTTCCAGGCTACATTGTACTCGTAGAGGTTAAAGCTCTCATTCAACAGTGGAATGTTCCACTTGCTGACTGATGTGTGCACACATTTTTTAATAGCATGTGTTCTTGTAGGGCTGTAACAGGTACCACACCTCCACTACCATACTCCACCTCAGATGACTCATATCAGTATCTCAATCAGCAGACACCGTATCTAGATCTTGGAACTTGACCATGCGAGACAAGCGAGGTTCTCTTACGCTTAAAGTTGACTGATCTGGTTTCAGCTATCTCCTTAGCAATTCAATTTCCTACCGTGCGCTTCAGTTGACTCCTATATCTAAGCCGACCCACCAATTATCTCACCCCACCTGAAGCCATCCCCGATGCATTACACATCAATGCATCTGTGTTTGCCTAGATCAGGAACATGGTCCGGAGAGCTAGTCCACATGATGAAGGTTTCATGACTTGGCCCCTAAACCAAGGTATTATCGACCGTGGCCTAGAACAGCGATATATCTGCAAGGATACAACAGCGTATTGGAGTGGCTATGGCCTTAGAGAAGAATGGAAAAATAGGATTCATATAATGAACCAAGTAGTTTGTTATAAGGCTTTGTACTTGTCAAAAAGAAAAACTTGGGATAAGGCCTTTTGGAATTGAGTTTATACAACAATGTATTCGACCTGAATGCTTTGGGAACTCTTCATGCTCTAGCCGGTGGGACAAAATTACTTTTCAAAGAGAATATTCTACCAATTAGAGGAGGTACTCATTCATTCAGTATAGAGATCATCTACTATTTAGGTAGGATACAGGCACCCATTTTCACGAAGAAACCTCAAAAACAAAAGTAGGGAAAGTAAGGAGGAAACAGCTTTTAGAAAATGTGATTGTCACAAAATGAGCTCTACGCACGCAACCTCACCCAACTATATTCTAACATGAATTGTCGGTATCTACATTCAACCATGTTGTCCAAGCACATGCACTGACATATCACCAACTGTCCTCAAAACTCATGTTTTCCTACAAATAGGGGATAGTCCCTTCCTCATTCAAGAAAGAAAAGATGAAAAAAGTTTTTTAAGGATACTCCTGGAACTTTCTCCTCTCCTAAGGTTGCATTGATTTTCACCCAATACCATACCCCTATGGCCTCTCCAGTATACTCGAATAAATTATTAATGGTTATTATCTGTCTTAATGTTTGACTAGCATGCTTCAGTATACTCGAATAAATTAATGCAATGGTTTGACGAATAACCCTACCTCCAACAACAGACTGAAACACCCAAACGTGCATAACAAAAATTATTAATGGTTACTATCTGTCTTAATGTTTGACTAGCCTGCTTCAGTAGACTCAAATAAATTAATGCAATGGTTAATAGCAACTTATATCCATATTTGAGATAAAATTATAATCAAGCAATCACAGTAAACATTATAAAAGGAAATGATAATAGTTTGATACTACCAACAAAGCTAATGATTTTCTTGTTAAGCTGCTACGGACAGAAAACACTCCACATGACATCATTAATATAGTACACTACAATAGGAATTGCTACCCCAGTACTGAATAAAATGAATACATTAATTACAGTGTCTTGCTTCCTCAATACCTAGTTCTTCTTATTATGTAACTTATGATTTTAGAAGTAAAAAAACGAAACCATCAATTAATCTGAACAGGCATTGCAGATTGTATCCAGTATGTCAGTTAAAATATAAAGTAGTCTGAGTTTCCTTTTTCAATCAGATGTTTGGATTTGAGCCATCTCCACGAGGAGCCAAATGCGGATTTGTTTTAAGAAGTTATAGTCTCATTAATCGACTTGCAGGTCAGAGTATAAATCAATTCTTGTTATGGAGAATAATATTAAACATTTCAGAAAGCAGCTGAAGTTTTACAATCTTACCAGATCCTTTAAGACATGTCAGACTAGACTCTGCAAAGACAAGTTTTTTTTTTTTTTTTTTCACAAGAATCAAATGGATAAACTTTCGTACCTCTGACCTTTCCAACCTTCCCCAGAATAAGCATCAATAAGGTTCTGCTCCAGCTTCATTTTTATCAAGAGGTACCTTGTCCTCCTTTGCAGGCGTGGAGCTTCATCTAGCTCCACATTATCCTTTTGCCTCTTTCTCTTTCGTCTTTTCTTTAACTTCTGAGATTTAACATCGTCATCGGCATGCTTCTCATTCTCCATTGAGCTAATTGCTGGGGCTTTTTCACCTTGATGTCTCAATTCAGATTGCTTCTTGGAAGACTTGCTTTGATGAGTTTCTTTACTAATCACATTTCTTCCTGCAGGGTCATTCCTCCTCCCTTTGCTTACGTAAATTATATCTTTTTTATGTGAAATGGCCGAACCAATATCATTTTCACTTGGTTTAGATTTAGGATTCTGTATCTTGTTTAAACAAGACTTCCCAAATTCCTTGTGGGATAGTTTTTTTCTGGTTCCACGCATTTGATCTCCTATTATAAAAACCAAAAAGTTAAGCAAGGAAAATGGTATTAATAAGTAATGAGTTCAGAAATATCCATTGAATGATAATATAATCTGGACAAAATTCAACTGCATAAACAAGGATACAACTTCTAATTAAATAGTCGCAAGCTGCATTGTTACAATTTTGATAACTCATCATTTAGTTCCTAATTGCATGTATAATGTATTTTTTTATCATACCTTCTTTGAAGAACAACAGAAATTCGTGAAGCAAATATTATACTTCCAAGGAATGGGGTACCCCTTTCATGCAGATGATGAAATCTAATGCTCGAGAAAATAAGACACATCTAACTCTCCTTTCACATGTCACTTTCTTCATATACCAATGATTGACATCTAACATGATGAATCCCAATAGATCCCGTAAAATGTTTCTAGCCACAACAATTGTTCTAAATCTATTATGTCCATGAGCATAAGTTTGCATACAAATCATATGAAATAAATCAAATCAACATGCTACACACCATAAAACCAAAAAATAGAGCACAAGACTACATAACAATTAAATACAATGTAAAGAACTCATCTACTCTAACAAAGCAGACTGCTCTTCAAACCCTAATAAAACTAATCAGAGGACCATAGCTCCCCTCAACCCAGCAAAACGAAAGAGATAGTGCAATGAAATTGAGAAGAGCCATATCAAATATAATGCACAGTGCTACATAGACAGATCGAAACATCACAAGATCAAACAGAACATAAAGGGTATTAAACAGGTGATTTCCTTTTTATATCAATACCAAAGATCTTGAATTATGAAACCCAAGCGGAAACTAAACCCTTGTTTACATATTTCATGGCACTTTCTTATACAGAAGGCACTGATCACAGAAACAACCCTCTAATAGAGTTTGAAACAAGAATGTACTCTTCACAATGGTCTTAATCTTACGAATATGATAAGCCCATTCTCAACCAAGAAGAAAAATTAGAGTACCAAGAGATTGAGTAGTACGTCTTGTCTAATAATCATAACTATCATAGGGAGGACCCTCATTTGCTGAATAATTTTTTAAAAGTAAAAACCAATTCACTAATGACAATCACAAAGAAAAACTAAATAAAACAATAACTTCATAGAATGCCTGTAACGTGTTTGTTAGTTCAATAAATCAAAATAAAGTTGATAAAAAATCAATCTTTTCACATTGATCTGAAGAGCACCCAGTACATGATCATCAACAAAAATGGAATTCAACAAATACCCAGAAGAGATTTGCGGTGGATTCTCAGAAAAAACCCAAATTAGGACTTAAGAATTTGTACGTTTAAACTAACGGGTACGAGAAAGAAACAAAGAAAAGCATGACAGAGATGAGTAGCATCTAAAGTCACCTGGCGATAGAAAGGGACTGAAGATCTAAATTGTTGAGCTGCTCTTGGACAAATGGCATGTATATATAGAGAGAGAGATGTGTATATATACAGTTGGTATATATAAATTTGAAGTCTGATTGATTGATTTGGGTAGTCCCAAGAACTCAAATTTGAATTTAGGTTTGAATAATTTTCCTTCCCAAGCAACGTTTTTTCACTTGATTTTGTCGTTCGCCGTGCCGCCTTAGGCTATTTCCTTTCCGGCTAGCCAACGGTCTGCTCTCTTTGTCTTTCTCTCTCTCTAAACTATCTGATTTATCTGCCCGATTTACCACTAATGTTCAACAAAGTTACTGCGTTAACACATAATTACTATTTTTCCCTTTTCTTTTTGGTAAATCTAAGAGATTTTTTTATTAAAAAAAAAATATTGGTAAATGGTATTTATAAATTATTGGTAAAACTCCTATAAAAGTGTAGACAAATTTTTATTTTTAAAAATATATTATAATGAATTAATTACATTATCAGCAAAAGAGGGAGAAAAGTGTGAGTCCTCCATTAAAATAGTTGAAATATTATGTTAAGATGGGTTTGGTTTATGGAAAATAGGCATTCCACTGTCATCCTGCTGAATTCTCAATTTTGTTGTTTGGGTAAATGTTGCATTGTAGTTCATGTTTTGAGTGAGCTAGATCATGAAAATATCTCATTTCTTGAGTAATGAGCTATTTTCACAATTGATACAATTTGTTTGATTATCGGTCTTATTAAATAAATAAATAAAAATTCAGTCAAACAAGCCCTTTATTTCTATACGTAGAAAACTGCTACTTTTACAATTTTCATCTAACAATAATAATATTTACAACACATGTGAATTAGAGATTATATACACATATGTATTTCAAAAAATTGGAGGACTAAAGTCTAATGTTTTATATTATCTTCTACATATATGCAGTAGGATAATTTGATGTAGTTAACTTTAAAATCAACGCTTTTGGTATTTTTTATATGTCTTCTCTCTCGACTATAAATAGCTTGTGGATTTGAATATATATATATATATATATATATATATATGAATCCAAATATAAGCTAAAAGAATGTGATTTTTTATTGGCAAATTTTTCTGAAGCAATGCCATACATACAATTCTGTTTTCTTTTTCTTTTTTTAATGGTAAATATCGCACACACCTTGACACTACTTGAACGGCCCAATTCCACACAATTCAACCCATAGCAAAGGTAAAGCTAAAATACCCACCAAAAAAAGGGAAGAAAAAAAAATTGCATAAAGACAAGTGATATAAAAGAAGAAGAGTAAGGCTATTGAGGTTGTTCTCATAACATGAGATGTGAGTTATCTGTATTAATTATTTAAATTGATAAATATATTAATATTGCGTTGATATGTAATGTAATAAAATATAAGTAAGAATGAAATGAGGGTCAGAATGATCATTCTCACTTTATTGTTTGGTGTTAAATATGAAACATATAGGAATAAAATGATAATAACCATTTTACTATTTAATTGAACCAATTTAAAATTTAGTAAATAGATTGAATTTTAAATTGAATTATCCAAAATACCCTTTTAGTGACAAATAAAACAGATTAAATTAAATTCAAAAAAAAACATTCTTTTATAAATTTTATAAAATAAATTACGACGGTGGTAGATGGAGGTGACAATGGTAGTGGAGGTGGAAAACGATAGTGGTGTAGGTGGTGGTATTGGAAGGCGACGACGGTGGTGGCAGTGGAAGGCGACAGTAGTGTGGGTGGTGGTGGTGGAAGGCAGCAGTGATAGAGGTGACGATGGTGGTGGAAGGCGGTGGTAGAAGTCGGTGGCAGTGAAGCTGGCAGTGGCTATGGCGGAAGGAGGTGGTCGTGGTGGAAGTCAGTGGTAATGGTGGACGCGGTGTGGTGGTGGCAGAATGCGGTGATAATGGTGGCAGTGGCAATGACCGTGGTGGTGGTGGTGGTGAAAAATGGCAGTGATGGAATGTGGTGGCGGTGTTGGCGACGGCAGTGGTGATGGTAATGGTGACAATTATGGTGGAAGACAATGAAGGTGACAATAGTCAAATGTGGCAGTGGTAGAAGTTGGTGGTGGCGGTGGCGGCAACGGTGTGGTGGTGGCGGCAACAGTGCAGTGGTTGAAAGTGACAACAATGGTGACAACGGTAGTGACAATGGTGGAAGGCAATGGAGGTGGCGGTGAAAAATAGTGGCGATGATGGTAGTGATTTATTGACTTGGAATATAAGGGTATTTTGGGAATTTGATTTTTTTTAAAAAAAAAAAAATTATTAGGGAATGGAATGGGCATTTCATAGGTTTAGTTATGAAATAAATTTTATTCACAAGAATGGATTTTCATTCCAATGGGATGACCCTTCCCATTTTAAATTGCATACTAAACAAATAAATAGTTGGAATGGGCATTCCATTCCATTTATGCACACCAAATATAGCATAAAAAATTTAATTAACTTTATATATATATATATATATATATATATATATAATTGCCACATTACAATGATTAATAAAGAACCATAGAACTCTATTAATAACCTCACTCAAAAAATTGTTTGGATAGAATAATATTATGGTATGTCAGTCACTAATTTTTTTTTTTTTGGAAGGTTATACTCATGCGTCTACGGAGAGGATTAAACACCCAAGCTCCTCTTTTGAGGAGATGATTTACACCAACTAGGCTATTTGCCCATTTGGTTTTTTGCCTTTTTAAAAAGGTAACTAATAAACCAGAATGATCGATTGCAAGAAATATAATTTCACATTTTGTGAAAAGTATAATAATAATTTTAAATAGGTGTATGCATCTTGTCATTCCTTCAATTTCACAAAAATAACATTAATACCTAACAAATTCAGCAAAAAGCCCTGTTATTTACCCTGATAAATAAAAATTTACTATTTCACTGAGTCCCTTATGTGTCAAATATAATAGGACTCATTTTAAAATATAAAGTAATTAACTATGTAAAAAGCTGTAATCTTTTTTCTAGATTTCATCTTAGTATCTTTGTTGAGGATTAAAGTTTCAATAACCATGTATATCAAATTGTATATATGTTATATATATCACTTTGCATGTCTCTGAGAATTGTTGAAATACTTAAGATTACATTTTCTAAGAATTGTTGAAATACTTAAGATTGCATCTTTTATTTATAATTAGATTATGTATCTCTTGTTATATATAAAAGATTGTGCCTTTGATCATTAATATCCATTTATTACTTTGATAGGTATTTGTTCATTGCTAGAATGATCAAAACTAATGATCTATGTGACTCTCAGAAACAAAAACAAAAAAAGGAATTTAAAGAAAGATTGCAAAGCATTAAAAAACTGTAAAACATTGTAATTTTTGTTCTAAATTTTGTACAAATCAAATTCTTATATTTGAGTACCATGAAAGTTATTGTGAAAACGAAAAAAGAAAATGATACGCGTATGAAAAACTAAAAAGATAAAGAAAGAAAAATGAACGTATTTTATGAAATAATGATACTAATTTAGGTTGGAATTTTAAAATAAAACGTCATATCTCGGTTTTAAATCGGAGTATTAAAATATAAATTTTTTTGTGATAGTATGATTAGTATCTTTACTCAGAAGGCCTGTTGTGAGATTTATATGCACCACTCGCAAGTGTACGAATCTTTGCAGATAGGATCTACTTATAAGGTGTCGTACCCAAGGGACTTGTGTAAAATAAGTTTGTCAACAAATTTCTTAAATTCCAAATTAACTTAAAAGTAGGATAATCAAATTGTGATGATTAATTCTAAATTAGCTGAATAGAAAATAAAATTAAAAACAATTATTAAATAAGATGTAGAAAATAGAAAGAGAGAGAACTAGGGGAATGACTTCACCACTAACGTCGCACCACCAGTTAATTGTATCAATTTATTGGAGATATATCATATAACATGCATAAGGAATTAATCATAGTTACAAGCACATATTATTTCAGCTATAAAATAATATAATTTGAAGCTAAGCATGGACTATCTTCGATTGGTATAAACCATCTATCTATCTACTTTACTCTAGGGTGTAGCATGGTATATCTTTTCTAGGCATAATCCATCAAATCTCTAACATTATATCCAGATAAATACCATTGTGTAATCATCTCATTCACAACTACAAAAAGTGAATGAGTTGTGTTCAATCACAAGATTCAAATATCTACGACAAGATAGAAAAATATTTGTAATTGAATTAAAACTTTAAAACCAATTCTTATTGAAAAGTCAATTAAAAATCCTATAGATTACACAATCATGCATGATAAAAATTATTCTTCAATAAATAAATACAATCAAACCAGTGTGCTAAGTTAGGGCTACATCACAACCCTAGCAAAGCGTTTAACCATGCATGACTAGAGTGGAATTCTTCCTGGTTGAAAAAAACATCTCACCGTCGTAGATCGATCTCTTTTTTCTTCTGAATGCTTCTCCTTTGATCTCAGCCTCAAGCTCCTCTGTATCCTCCCTCAATGTTGTAGAGAACTCTCTTTAAATAATAAAAAAATCAGCCATAAAGTTCCCTTTTTTCATATAGAAGACATATATAGAAATTCTGTCAAATAAGAACTCCAAAATTCGTACAGACTTCTACCTCAATTTTGATAAGGAAAACAACTGTTTTATGGAATTCTCGTGAAATACAAAATTGTAGCTCTTCGAATTTCCTTTCAATTCACGTAAGAATTTAGCTATTTTGACACTCGAGGAGAGAGAGATACAGCCATATTACCAAAATGGGTTCAAGTTACCAACTTTGGCTAAAGTTTCCTTTTTGGAGAAGGATTTTTCATTTTCTTCTTCTTTCCATTCTCATCATCTTGTGACTTCTTTTGGACTATTTTTCTAAGTATAATTAGACTTGGATCTTCAACATTGCTCAGTCCCACGGAATATCATCTTTTAAAGCTTGGAATCACTAATCTTCACTAATTTTACAATTAAAACCCTGAAATAAATAAAAATAATAAAACAATGTAAAATCATAAATAAACTATTATTAAGAGAATAAAACGTGCAAGTAAAGAGGCTAAAATGTATAACATTCAGCGCCTAACACACCCCTAAACTTACATATTGCTAGTCCCATAACAATAAACTAAAGAAAACATAAATGTCGCTTTCGTAGGAATCACGATTGCATTTAACGTATGCAACAAGTAGGGATGGCAATGGGGCGGGTTTTCCATTCCCCATCCCCGCCCCAGTTTA